TTCACTTTGGTCGGACGTATTTAAAACGTTGATCATCCCCATCATTTTTTCAGCACTCATCTACAACGCCAACGGTGTTCTATGATTTTCAGGTTTCGTTTCAGCTTTCTAATAGGCCTTTCTTAGTAAGGACTAAGGAAGAGTAATATCTGGAAGTTTTAAGTTTTGACACAACCGAAGTTTTCTTTTGCATGATCATCATGCCTAAACGCCTGAGTCTAGTGAGTAATGAAGAGTAAACGTGTTTTTTGGACTCCGCACGTCCGAGCCAAAACTTGGCTTGCTCGTTACTAAATTATTATATATTCCCACGGATATACCCTTACAAAAATTTCACATAAAATTTCATATATGAAACATCAATTTCACATATGAAATGAAGAATTTCACATTTGAAATGAAGAATTTCATATATGAAATTAAAATTTCGCATATGAAACGTGAATTTGATGTATGAAATGCTACTTAGATATTATATCAATTTCTAATTATTTAAATATTACGTTTTTCCACCTGAAAAACAACTTATATTTTAATTTTTGGCTTCACAAATGAAGTAACTTAAAATTTTACTTGCATATATGAAAAGTTAATTTCATATATGAATTGCTACTTTCACATGTGAAATAATTTAAAATTTTACCGTCACACGAATTTCATATATGAAATGCTAAATTCACATGTGAAATTTTGGTTTCACAGCGATCAAAACGCGCAGATCTAAGAACTATGATAAGGATTGACGTAGAAGATCGTGATAAAGTTTTAGGGAACATGATCAATGAGGCATTCATCAGCGTGCTGAGAGATTTTCGTCCTTTGCCGGAAGATTTCAATTTACCAGTCCATAATTATGTCACATTAAGAGTCTCAAAAATAACGGTAGAGCAAAAACTAACCAACCTCCAAATTGGGTGCTCAAAAGCTTCTCTCATACCCTGGCACCTGTAATTACTGATATACTAAACACATCCTTCCGAGAATCTAAAGACCCAAAAGCATGGAAGATAACAGATGTTCCACCTATTCCAAAGGCTAGAAATATTACCGACCTTAACAAGGATTTGCGGCCCATTTCTCATGACATCAAACTTGTCAAAAATTGCTGAAAGCATTATCAATGAATATGAGCTGAAATCTACTGGCGAAATTGGACCCTAAGCAATTTGGCTTTATTCCAGGTTCTAAACTGGGTTCTACACTGGTAGTCAAAAAGAACTGCTCAAAACAAGTTAAAATGCTCTCAAATGATCGTGACCGTAACTGCATGTTCCTCTAACAATATATACGAGTAAATCTGGACTAGATTACATGCTAAACTATATGTAATATGAATATTTTGTTGTCCTCCTTTGATAGCCTTACATGCACCGGCGTAGCATACTTTGTGTTAAGGTGGTAATCTTAGTTAAAGCAAATTCATCCTATGGACAGTCTTTACAGCAAACCACAAATCATGGACGCTTTATGAATTAATTCATCTCTTGCACTATCCCTAGGCCTTGACATTGTTCCACAGATTTCCAATACGGTTAAGCTCTTTTTACCGTGTCGGCCAGTCCATTTCTGTCATTCCTCTTCCTGAAACCATTGCTTGATTATCTTGAAGGTGTGGCAGGTTGCATTGCATTATTGAAATATTGCTTGGAATGAGAGAATTATCCATAATTCCAATGAAGCCCTCTCCTATATTTGCTGCTTTTTAATGAATTTGTGTCTAAGCAGTTCTTTTGACCTCTAGTGTATATTAAAATATCGATTGTCGCGATTCCTGTTACATACGGTAATAACAACATTTGAGCATGCAAGTTCTTTTTGACCGCCAGTGTATAATACGACTCTTGCACTAATTTCAATAAGACAGTAAGGGTCGCGATGCACGATTACCGTAAAGCTGTTGACTTAGTTGATCACAATCTCCTTGTTTCAAAGTTATCTAATTTTATAAATTATAAATTGGATAGCAGATTTTCTCCGTTGCCGAACCCAAAGGGTAAAAATGAACTCTATATTTTTAAACTTCCTACAAGTTCCATGCAGCTGGCATCCCGCAAGGAACAATAATTGGCTCTTGGCTATTCTTGGCGATGATAAATGATTTACTGACGTATTGTAAAATTATTTGACTAGGATTTTTTGACTAGGATTTGTGGAAGTTTGCGGACGACACCTCTGAAGTTATCCCCAAAGCCGGTGTTAGTTTCCTGTCTGAAAAGGTGATGAAGTTGATAAATAGTCAAACGAGAACAAATCTCAGCTTAATCCTAGTAAGTGTAAAGAGTTATAAAAAACCTTTTCCAGCAGACAGTTTTGCGAAATAAAAGAGAAAACATAGTCCGAAAATAAACATCTTGTAAACTCAAGATATGAATTGTTAAAAAACAAGACACAATATTCAAGGTGATATTTCGACTCTATTTCAAAGTCATTGTCAAACTATATTTACAAGCATGCTACGATCTTAAGAAATACGAGAACATGGCATCACGAGATATTTGCATGCATATGGTGATAGAGTCTAAGGAAAAACTATACCTTTGATGCCTTTAAGACGCTATTGAGTTTTGGCTTTTTAAACTTTATATGCAGTGTCTCGAGGAACAACAACAGATTAGAATTTGTGTGGTTGAGAGACTGGATTATTTTTTGCTATGCTATATAGGTACGAGTTCCGCGTAAGAGTAAAAGGAGCCAGAATCATTAAGCTTGTCAAAAAGATTGTTCATGTTAAGTAGGTAGTTTGCGTCGTCACAGTCCATTAAGTGTTTCGATCCAAATGTTCTGAAAGCCTCGTTGCCAAATTTCGCTCAGTTTTCCCCATATACGACATATTGCAGCCCGGACAAGTGAATTCGTAAACTAGATTGTTCCGCGACTTATCTGGAATTTTATCCTTTTTAGGAAGAATATAAAAAATCTTTTTGGTTTGGCATATAACAATAAATTTAACCGGTTCTGTTAAGTTGCGCTGGAGCTTTTTAATAAGCTTTTTGACTAAAAATTCACTTTGTTTACCTAGGAAAGGAATCTTTAATCAGATTTTTTGCCTAATGTCCTCGGGATTTTCAATATTTCCGGATGCCGTATTAACAATAATTTGAGTATATTCATTATCGACCGCATACCTTTGTTTTTGTGTCCGTATCATGGAAAAGCGGACATTTGCTTTAAAACCATTCCAGGCCATAAACTTAGAAATTTGCGAGATTTGTTTGTTAAGAAACGCTGAGTTGGTACAAATCTTGGCCGCACGGAAAAACAGTGATTTAATCCACGCTGTTTTGCGTGGCCAAGGCTCAAAAGACAAAACTATCAAAATGTGTATATACTGGCCGGTGTGTGTTGGTTGACGAAAAACATTAATGCCCGAACTTGAGATTTCTAAATCTAAAAATACACTTCACTATCACAATTTAGAGTATGTTTTCTCTTATATTTCGTAAAGAGTTATAAGAGTAAACTTTATTAGCCAACCAATTAATGATGAACCTCTCACTGTAAATGGAAAACTGAATTTCTTATCAAGTTTATTTTCGATAAAGCGCATGTAGTTAAATTCCTATCAATAGTTACAAACTGGATTAAAATTTTTTTATCCTGTTGGTCTTAGTAATACGGAAATTGTTGTAAAATTTTTCAAAATGTTGTTGTAAAATTAATTGTAATTCAGTTATGCGACTGTAATTATTGATTCATTAAACATTCTATTTATTCGAATATTCGTCTTCACATGCATACCGTTAAACAATCGCTTTCGAAAGAACTTGCATGCATGGAGTCAGCATAAGGTGCATATATATGGCATATATATGCACCATGTAATGGCTTGTTCGGATACCAAAGATGCGTTGGTAAAAAAAAAATCACAAAGGTAAATACCCGGCCGTAGACTATAGACCAAGTGATATTTTTAAAGCTGTTTAGGGGATAGAATAATTTTTTTTTCTAAACAGCTAACAATTATCGAGCAAGATGGTAGTAGATTACATCCAGGTCTTGAGATTTCTAATTTGCAGTATTTTTGAGCTGATTTATGGGTTATCATAAGACTTCTGATTAGGATAGTATTGCTATTAGAGGTTATCTTCCTTTAGAGATTTAACCATGGGTACTATGGCAGGATATAAACGATAAAAAAGCAAACCAAGATATAGGTTCAATTTCGTTTTTTTATTTCGTTTTTTTATTTAAACAGTGTTCAATATAAAAATTTCTTGATAAATGTAACTCATGCAGTAACTCACAAAACATAGTTTATCTATAAACAATATACTTTATCAGTTAGTTTTTATTAAAGCAAAACTATATTCTAATCTAAGTTTCAAGTAATTTTCAAATGGGCGAATAATTAGCTATACTGTAACTGATTGCATGATTCGCATAGGAAATTGTCATGCCGGCTATGACAACATTTAGGCTACACAGTTTATCGAAAAACCTCTCGAAATATGCCTAGTTTCTGGATTTACTGACCAATCAGAGTTGTGATGGTTAATTATCCTAAAATATTGACATTCATATAAATTGTGTTTTCTTGACGTCAGGGTTAAAACTACTTCAATTTATGTCAAATCATCGAAGTCATTGACATAGGAAATTTGTTTGATTGCTTCTTATTGGCTTTTTGAGTTGCGTATAATATATATTTGCTTTTTGAATACAGCCAGAGCAATATAGGTACAGCTAATTTCTCTGGTTTATCAGTAGCTATATATATATAGCTGCTGTAAAGGTATATGCATGCATATTGGTGAGCCACGGTTTAGCATTCACATAAAAATGCATGAAAATTGTTGTGCACAAACGGCATGCACAAATGTCCTCTGATTATATATATATATCAGAGTAAACAAAAGCATCCTCGGTCAGCTTAATATACCAAAGGCTATATGTAGTCACTCCAGCTGTATAGGTAATATAATAGGCTATAAGGATGCAGTATAAGTCATGCACCCAAAAGCTACCACTTTGAATACTCAAGCCCTTTTTATATAAATGTACTAACGGGTTTTCGTTTCGATGTTTCTAACGAAGTCTTTAACATTTTTCCAACTCCTTTTTGCCATCATATGGGGATGCTCAGCAATAAACTTCTCACATTCTTTCTTTTTAGGCAGTTCCCCCTGACTTATTTGTTCGTCAAATGCATTGATGACCAGTCTTCTTTCTGGCGTCGTCCATTTTATGGCCAATTGTGGAGCCCTTCTCTTCTTAGCGGCTAGAATAAGAGAAATTTTCAGCGATTAAAATAAGACTTCGTTACTGTTTTTAAGATGGTAAATTGAATAAAAGCATTTTACCATGTATTCTTTGTCAAATTCATATGAATTTTCGTTTATGTCATTTTAATTTTTAAAAATTAACATGCAGAATGCGACATGTTGCTTGGAATTTTATTTTTAGTATTGGAGAGATAGCTCAATTGTTTGCTATGATATGCTCTCTGCTGGCCGGAGCTATAGCTCAGCTGCAGTTAGAATAAATTCTATTTGAACAGAATATCTTTGTACTCCAAATTCAAATTAATTTTTGCTGATAGATGTAATTTTGGGTAGAGTGAAAGGCACCCTCGCACTTCCGCTGCAATATTTTAATAATTTTTTCCAAAAACTTCTGAACAACAAGAACAAGGATTTTCCTCACATCTGTATGCATGCAATGACGAAGAATTACTTACTTGGAGTCTTTTGGTGTGCATATTTACTTGAGGTTGGAGTCTGAGGCGAGGAAATGCTTTCTCTTTGTGGTTTGCCTTTTCTAATACCACTTTTTTCTAAGGCGATAATAGAGGTTTACTTTAAGCAATTAGCATTATCGTTTGAATTCCAAAAAAGTAACTGTATAGGTATGTTATAAGAGTTCCGCTGACTGTCCTCAACATCAACAATGCTTTTAATATTAGTTAACATTTACCAAAGGCGTTAAACAAACGTAATTTCAGTTATGTAGATGTCCAAGCCGGCTTGGTCCAAGGTTAAAAAAATAATTTTGCACATTCTGCATGCCCTGTCATCAAATTGCAATTATAATAACTACATTTTCGTCCTACATATTTGGCAGCCAAGTCTATGTTTAAGTTAAGAATTAAGAGTCAAAATTTCGTGGTTGCAAATTCCCATCTTTCAGAAGCAGAATTGCATTGCAAAATGCATAAAAAATCGCACCGTGTAACATGTAGGGCCTTTATCATGCACCTCATACAAGCAGACTCTATATTTATTATGTCAACTGCCAACTATCTGGGAATAAATTATACCGAACGTTACTATAAACGTTTGTTTAATATAAAGGCTTACTATATATCCTGCATATATTGAATGCTATCAGCAAATGGAGAACTGTAGTTACGACAATTGTTTCGTTTATAGTAACCAGGTTTTAGCTTCGTTTAATGCTCTCTGTGGATGCTAACAACTAGGACGCAAAGTCAAACGTTTCGTTTCAAAATGTACAAATGCCAAATAATGACAAGTAATATATGACAAGTAATGGTCAATGGCAAACTAATTTCAATTATTGCTGTTCAAATTTAACTATATTTATGGCTGATAAATTATATAGTTGCGGTACCTTGTGATCCCGAACAGCTCTCCTCATTCGAAGTTGACGCCCCTGCAATTCAAAGATATAAACTGAATAATATATATTCTATATTGTGAAGCATAGACCCAATAGACCTGAAGCATGCAGGAAATGCGGTCTTAGTAGTTACCGCGGAAAATTCAAACTTCAATTTTGAAAAGGGAATGCATGCAACCCCCTTGTTTATTTTTACTATTTATTATACAGGGTGTATCAAAAAAAAGGTAATCCAACTTCAACACGCTATTGTACGTGAACTACTCAGTGTATGAACGAATTTTTTTCACGTTCGGAAAGATCAGGCTTTTAACTATCGGATGACATGTTTTTAATACCAAATGGCGAAAAAGTGAGCACATACGGGGCTGATAAAAAATGTTAGTCGCAATCGCATATTTTCACCTTTGAGCCTAATTAAGGCAGTGCATAACAAAAGAAAAAAACAATTAATCCCAAACATGTCACAGCTTACACTGGTTTTATGCCGCATTGCTTAGAATGTTTTCCTGATGTGATTTATTCCTACTTAATATGCATATGCGGGTAGTTTACTCAAAAGCAAAATTCTTCAATTAAGTCCTAACTAACACTTTTTATCAGCCTCCTATTTGCTCATTTTTTCACCATTTGGTATCAAAAACATGTCATTCAATAGTTAAAAGCTTAACCTTTCGGAATGTGAAAAAAATTCGTTAATAGAATGAATAGTTCACGTACAATAGAGCACCAAAGTTGGTTAACTTTTTTTTTGATACACCCTGTATATAGAACACTGAAGATAAAGATACATTGCAGCCTTTGTCGTTCAAAATAGGACCGCGTTTATTACATGCACTCTCTTCATTTTGCTCGCTTAATTATTATACATAAATAAAGATTATCATAATTACCAATACTGTCTAGTATTTCTTTGTTTTTGGTCACTTCATCATCATCATTTCCAAAATCTGAAAAAATATTGCTCTAGATCATATCTAGGTAATTTCTTTAATTAAAAAATAGATTTGAATGAAGCTAGTCTTCCCAGCCTGTTATAATTTATTTTCACTTTTTTTTCAAGCTACCACCCCGGCGACTTTCAAATAAGTATATTTTTGAGTCAAATAAATATTTTTTTCGCTTTACTTAATTGACCAGGGCCATGGACCATATGAATTTTACATATAGACCAATTTTTTTCTGTATAAGTGCAAGCAAGCCGGGGCAAATAAATTTCCTGAATTGGAATGAGTCCATCTTTTATGTAGAGAATAAAAGTGAATGAAAAATTTTGAAATATAATACCTTCAATATTGATATCCCGCAGATTTTTCCCCTTGAATTTGTGAGCTCTTCCCTCGTCGATGGCCAAAAGGAGATTTCCGACCACAGCAATCTCCAGGGTGCTCTGTGGTAATCTGTAGTACTCCTTATGTACATGTAAATCATGACCCATATGGTCTGCGAGCCATCCCATCTCATTTTCGTTCATGTCGACCAACTGGGAGACCGTGGCTACGTACTTCCGCATGCTGGTCGACGTGACTTGGCTGTCTGCGTTCAGCTGGGCATTCTTGCAAACATGCCTCAGCACATCATTTCCTCTGAGGCTGTGGCGGGATGAAGCGTTGTTCATTGGGAAAACGTAATCATTTTCCTCCGGCACACAGCCTTTCTTTCGATACGTTGGGTCAGTTAATAAATCCATGGCGCTTATCACGTCTGGAGTCAATATAACTGGAACCTTTCGGTTCCTCTTGCCTACAATTTCCACCATATCAAACCTTGAAACCAAATCAAAGATATGCATTAAATATCATTATATATATATATATATATATATATATATATATATATATATATATATATATATATATATATATATATATGTAAACTGCACGCATCTAAGGGTTGATAAGTTAACGCGTCGGAAATTCTGTACAAGCGCGTCGAACCGCGGTGACTCCGATGTTGATACTCGGTTGAAACTGGTCTGACAGACATTTCTTAAGATGTTTTCGATTTGATTATTGTGTTGTCGTTCTCAGTAGTCGCAAGTTCATAACATTCCTTTCGAAAGCGAACGGCAACTGCGATGGTATTTTTTCCTTGTGGTTGTCTGCATAGTTTCTTTCGGTCGTCAATAACCGAACCACAATCGCAGTGTTAGGTTATTTTTCGACAGTACTGTACAATGGACACGTGAAAGCTCGGAAATTAGCTAATGCTCACATAGTCACAATAAATCCTGTCACATTCCCCGTCTATATAATTATATAAATACGAAGGTGCATGATGAATACATACTTATCACAGAGCTGCTTCTCGGAAGTGGACAGCGACTGTAGAACTTCCTGGTTATGGTTGTCCTTCCAGTTGAAGCGATTGGAATAGGCTGCCAACTTCATTCGTGCTGTCTCCCCGCCTATATCAATAGGAAACACGAAATTTTATGCGTTATTGTTCGTGCCAATTTATTTCAAAAATAAGAACCATACGTTTTAGAGCAAAGATAGAGCCTTATGTGTTATATACCTCTTCTCTTATTAAACATAATTAGCCTTGCAAGGCAAACTTCGGACAATGCCCTGAAATTCTCCTTGTTTGCATCTTGTTTCAGGCTTTCTGTTTTTTCACTTATTGCTCGAAGAAGGTAGTCACGCAGCTTTAATAGGTCGCTGGTAAGGGGCAACACATCGGGCTTGTTGTTCTTCTTCTCCCCGAGATTGTCGTGGGCTGGCGATGTAATTTTTTTGCCCCATTCTGTTTCATACAGCTCCAGGAAATTGTCGACCTCTTTCTTCCTGTCCATGTCACAATCCCGCAATGCCTTCCCTCTTAATATTTTGCAGGCTGTCATTGTGGCATACCCGCACTTCACCGCGGTCGACGGGCTCTTGAAATTCCTGGAACCATTCTGATTTACAACGTAACCCCCAAGATTTCTGGCGCATTGCAGGAACGAGTCGAAATGCAAGGGGGTTATAATGGTCGATAAGGAAGCATCAGGTTTTCCAGTCAGCTTTCTCATCTCGATGAGTACTCGGGCAAGTAACCGCATCTTTTGGGATATCTCTGTCGCTTTTTCCACTCCCTTTTGATCAACCATATCACTCCCGACAGCGAGTATGGTAGGGTCAGCCTGAGCGACAGCTGATATATCGTCATGGGCCATGATCAATAGGACGTTTTGGAGCTGTTTGCTACATGCTTCAAGGTTGGTTTCAGCTAACAGCAGCTTTCCATCAAATCGCATGCGCTTGGCAGATGGCTTTTCTTTTTTGTCCGATTCACAAGATCGCATACAGGTGGCACCATGTCGAGAGAGTTCATGCGCAAGAAAAAAGCCATTGCATATCGTGCATGGCAAGTATTGGCTCGCCTTAACTTCTCTTGCTTGTCCCGGTCTCCGGTCGACTTTCAGCTCTCCATCTTTCTTTTCCATCACTTTCACGTTGTGATTGAAGTTCCCCATTTTTCTTAACTTTGCAAATTGTTCCTTCCGACGTTTGTCAGAAGGGGGGAACTTCAAGGCAGCCAACACTTCCTCCTCGTCTTTATGCACTTGCTCTAAGTGCCTAGCCAATTTTGAAAATTCTTTATGACAAAAGAAACAGCTGTTCCTTTTGTCATAAGCCCGCTTTCCACTTGAGGACTGGGCTGACTGTACGTAAACTATTAAAAAAGAAATCAAAACATTTTGTTGGAAATAAAAAGATAATACTCTAAGAAATTTTTTATCATTAAACAGAAATTAATATTTCTATCAATATTTGGAAAGTGTCAATTTTTATCAAAAATGAAAAGTCCAGACTATAAACGTCAAAAGTTAGACGCTTGTAGAGCTTCTAAACCACCGAAACCTAAGGACCGGCCAAAATTGAGAAATTCTAACATGAAAAGTTGAAACACAATAGTTGAATATTATTGACAATTACTTTCAGGCGAAATTTAATCTCAATTGGCTTCCAATAGTAGGTAAATATGAGTCTTTGAAATTTTTTTCCCGACCGTCTAGAGGAATTATTACGGCAAACTAAGGGCAAGTATATACTATCGTCTCGTGGTATAAATCCAGGCTTATATTGTAGCTATATCTTAAACTTTCTCTGATAACAGGCAGAAGCAGTTTTGCATAACTAAACCGTAGTCCTATAAAGAATTGTCAATCAATGATGTGTTGCAGCATGGCGAAATTCGGACGAAGTTAACATTATATATACTTCTGCTAAGGTTTGCACATTTTGCACCAATGCCTATGCTAAGTCCCGGATTTTTTTGAAGCAGTTAGAACTTTTTGCGATTTTTTGAACTATGTAAATCTCAGGATTTTTTACGATCAGTATTCCTGTTTTTTCCAGACAAAGTTCTAACCATACAAACTATACAACAAAGTTTTTAGAAATAAACTAAAAATGCAGATTTCCCATAAACTCATACCAAAAATATTAGCCTAGGAACTTCGATTTGCCTTACAAGAAACAACTGGAGCAAATTGTAAATATTCATGATTTTCGCAAATTTTGCGGAATATGATTTATAATGCAGCAATTGAAATATATTTGAACAAATATGGAACTATTCATTGCAATCTGCATATTTCATGTCCACGATTTCTGGCCATGTCTGCCTAAAAAGTTTCTATAATGTGGCCGTGAGAGTTACCATACAAAGTCGCCACTGTGCGCATCTGTGTACGCAAGTCCTTTCACATGCGTTGTTAAGTAAGTCACTATTTTTTGACAATGCAGCAACGGAGAATCACACATGCAGCCTTTCTTTCTATAGTTGCAGCAAGCGGAGTTTTACGAACTTTTAATTTCCAAATTTTAAAATATGGACTAGGGCAATTTCTATATATCACGATAAAAGTGAGTAATTTTGATTGCTTTGTTGATCACCGTTGCAGCGTAAGCGTTCCTGAGTTTGACCGCACATAACCCAACACTGTTACCTCAGGCGGTCTGATTGAAAAATATATGGCTCTCTAAAACTGTCTTCGAGAATATTTTTTGACTTTCTAGCGAATCCAGCAGATAAATAAAATATATATGGCTTTGGCATATCTAACTATTGAAAATCTAGAAAGCCCTTGCTTATTTCTTTCGAATAACAATTTGTGAGCATATGTGGATTTTTAACGCTTCCAATTTAAGAAAATATTTTTTTTCAATCATTTTGTGGAAGCTATCTTCGTACCCAGCTCTTTTTCGCAGTTTTCGCGTAGTAGAGGGTGTATTCAATTTTGATTATTTTCCTGGCATAGCATAGAATGCATAGTCTGTGGCATAGTTATCGCAGCGTGGTATTTTTGTCTCGAGATTTTATTGCGATCGAAAGAATGAGGTAAGTAGATTTGTGTTATTTTTACTTATTTAGCGTTACTATACATCGGATCAAGCATAGGCCGTCGAATCGTGCTAAATTACACGGTGTTTGTGGGCTAGAGTTCAGGGGCCGGTTGTTCGAAAGGCGTTAACACTTAAGCTTAAACAGTAAGTTCAAAATAGAAAAAATATTATCGATTTATTGAACAACCGGGCAAAAAAAATTTGATATAAATAGTTTAATTTTAAAAGTGCTATTTTAACGCATAAGATGCAAGTTCAGTCATTCACAAGATGTATGAGAGTACATATTTTTAAACTTTGGCTTATCCACCCGGTTATTAAAATCTAAACGCCTTTCGAACAATCGACCCCTGAATTATGTGTATATAGGTCTTCAAAAGATGATAGTTATGATTCATATGCATGGATTTATTCAAACATATTTGAAGTTGTCCCTAAAAATTTTGCACAAATGACAAATTTAGTCAAATTTACCATAGAAAATTGACTATAATGAATCTTCACTCATATCATACCACAAGTGTTTTGTAAAAAAATACAAAAATTTTTGAAAAGGTTTTGCACTAGATACTAGAAGGGCGTCTATAAGATAGGGCGTCTATCTTATAGGCGCCCTGATACTAGATAGGATTAGCTAAAAACTAAATAAACAAACTTGTTCTATGTATAATAAAGCAACATACCTTTTGAACTACTAGCATCATCATTTGAATCTAAAACACTTTTCGATTTACAAAATTTAACCTAAAGTATTAGAGTAAATTAATATAACTAACTAAAAATGTAAAACTTAAAATGCAAATATGTATAAAGTTTATGATTCACTTGCGAAATTGCTTAAAAAACATTCACAAGGCTTTTTTGTTTTAAAGATGAAGGAAGAGAATTAACAGCTAAGCTGGTATTTTATTTTTTCTGGATCTGCCCCTCTTCCCTCTCTCTGCCTTTATAAGGATAAATGCAATTTTTAACACAAACTTACAAATAGTTTTTTTTCTTTTTTTTGCTTCTTCAAGCTGTAATCTGTTTAAAATACACAAGTCAATTTTATGAACAAGTTTTGTGAATATATCATATTTGGTAAGTTCTTATACTCTTAAATCCATTTTAAATGGAAACACTTCCAAATATTCAGGATCTTAAGCCTTTTTTGTTTTGTACCAACATTTAGCAATCTTTGGAAATTTTGTTTTTGCTTGAATATATATAGCTTATAGAAATATGTTTTCTTACCAGGACCTCCTTTAATGTTTTGTGTTGAGGCATTATCTTTGATATTCGCCACTATAGGTTTTTTGGCCATTGATATTGTTGGTTTTTTCTGTTTTATGGATAGATTTGGAGATAAATAATTCAGTGTACCATTTCAGCTAGAGCATGAGCTAGAGCACTCCCAAATATAATGATCAACCTACTTTGAGAAGGCTCCTTGGTTTATTTTGTGACAAGTGTGTTTCTAAGACATAAAAAATTATATGTTATCGTACAAACCATTTAAAACTCAACATGTAAATTTTTAATATCATTTAGTAAATATCTATTCATTGCAGGAAATAAGTAATTAACATGAACATATACAGCAACTGGCAAAAAAATGTTCTCCTTTAGGAAACACTAATCATCTATAATAGACTATAAGACAATGTATATTTATATACATATATATATATATATATATATATATATATATATATATATATATATATATATATATATATATATATATATATTTATATATATATAAGGCCAACCTTGCATTTTCCTAGTTATGATATTAGGTATCAGTCAATATTGCAAAACAAAGTTTTTGTATACCTTTAAATTCATACTCATTCTCTTCAGAGCCAGAGTCCATGTCTAGTAAAATGGATAAAAATACTATGTAATACTTTGTTTAAAGCGATCATGTGTTATGTATATGTGCTGTCTTTATGCCACTGTGTTTTAAGAAACAAGAATGGCTTTACCATCGTTTTCGCTTCCTGTACTCGGCTCATAGTCTTCGTCACTGTCATCCTGCTGTAAATGTTGTTATTGTAAATATAATAGTATATGCATATTGGCATTGCAAGCTATATACTTATCACTCACCCAAATACCAGCAAATATAAATAAACTATAAAACTGCGTGGAAAGTCACATACCTTATGTCTTGTACTCGGTTCGTGTATATTGTGAGACGAACATGGGTTTTCTAATTAAAATCAAAGGCGAATTCAGTTATTGTATGGATTTTGTGATATTGTAGATCAGTTTGATATATTTCACATCCATCCACCCATATCTGTCTGTAATTGCGCATTTTTATATACGGCGCTATACACATCATGCAATAAATCCCGAGGGATTTTACTAGATAACTTTGTTCGTGTTATGTTTTCATTATAACTTTGGGCGTTCTTGGCACAGTACGCAATTCGAGCCAGGGAAATTTTTATGCACGAATTGCAATCATCAGCCTGCTAATCTGTACTAGCTATAGTCGTAAAGCACATTTCATATTTACCAATATTAAACAAAAATTAAATGACTGCAATGCTGCGATGTTACAATATTACAATCGCTTCAGATTTCTGTCGGGCGGTATTTTTACGTCTTGGGCGGTTTTTCTATACACTCGCGCAGTTTTTAGTAGGACCGTATAATTGCGTTCCTTTAGTGCAATCCGGATTCGGATTTTCAATTTTTTTTTTTTTAAGAAAATCTTATAAATAAAAATGAAAATCGGAATTCAAAATCCCGATCAGGATTGCAATAAAGGTAATTACATCTTATATATATATATATATGTAGTCTATATATATATTATAAATCAGAAAAGTGCATACAAACCTGAAGTGTCTGTTGTTATTGCTTGTTTGAATCCTGTAATATAAGGTTGTAGAACACATTTTAAAATAGTCAAGATTCAAGACTTCTATTTTCTAATTTTAATTTATTCATATCCGGCTGTAAGTAATGATGTTTTAGTATCTCAATGATGAGAGTTTTGGTGGTCTTTGGGTACAACCGTGAATGTTTACTAGCGCTGCTGCTTGGGTAACAAGGAATGTTTTCGCTTAGCGCTAAAACTGTTTAAAATCATTCCATTTCGCTTTGTTTATAATACATATATATGTATATGCTTTATGTACATTAGGCTGGCCGCAAGTTTAAAACGCCTTTTTCTGAAATCCATAAATTATATACATTAATATATTTACCAGTATCTAGGCACTTGTAGCATGTGACAGCCTGTCCATACCCTTCTTCCCCAACTCCCTCACCACAGAATACGTGGACAGAACGATGACACACAACGCATACGTGGGAGCCGGACACTTCGCCAAAGCAGACATGGCAGTTTCCATCTGTTATGTCTAAGTAAATCAATTTTATAATAGTAAGGAATTGGGGAGGAATTGCATTATGTTCGCCTGCTAGAAATTTAAGGACCACAGAAAAAAATATAATATTAACCCAACGATCCTAACGTTATTTCTTAATTTATCATGAAAAATGAAGTAACATCTGAACTTTCATTTTCCTTTTAGCTGCATTTCTGGCACATTAAGCTTATTTTTTTACCTGTCACTGATTGGTCGGCATGACCAAGTGTCGGTGGCACACCAATGCAGTGTGTTCCGTCTACAGAATGAATTAAATACGAAATCAGGTTATCCGTTACCGTACGATGATTGTGTGTTCTGTATCCCTTTTATCAGGCGAAGATGAAGATATAATGGTATGTATGCCAAACACACTTCCGCTTAAAAAAACTACCTTAAAAACTTCACAGACCATAGACAGACACAGACCCACAGACACAGACTCACAGACACAGACTTCCAACATTAAGAAATAATCTTTGAGTTCGTATATTTCATACGTCAACCAAGGAAAATTTTATGGTAGCACAGAAAAATGGGAGAGGATTCATTGTTATTCTAAAACTGTGATGTATTATAATATAAAATTATTACTATGAGATAAGAAAGATAATGAAATGGTATGGGTAAATTCTGAGAGGAAATATTGACTTTGTCATTTGCCGTTGGCCGGAAACACGGCACCAACCCGGCACGTAATAAAGCGTTTAAGTATCGAAATGTTTCATCTTGCTTAGGTGAAATCCGGCTCGATAACAGGTCACAGCTCGTCTTATATGCATGACTTATTTTGTACCTATGGCGTGCTTGGTCCATTTTCCATCACTTGACACCCCCCAGTCACGCCACTGTTACGAACATTATAAAAAACAATTAAATTCACAAATTACCTGTCACCACCGGATCTTGACGGTCACGGAGCTTTCCTTCTAGTTGTCCATTATCTTCTTCTACAGAATTGATCAAGATACAATCAGGTTACTGCACAATATTTATAAGTTCTGAATCTGAACATGGTGCTCTAGAGGTATTGCTATTAACAGATTGAATCAGCCTGTAATATAGTAATCGCTCTTTTTACTAATAATTTATGTATGTATTGGCCACTATCGTGCTGCAATTCAAAACGTACCTCCCATAGCTATGTCGTCGCAATCATGGGGTGCCCGGTGAAAAGAAGCACCCAATTGTTCATAATGCACCCTTTGAGAAGCGGTGCCTAATTGTTCTTTATTTTTTTCTACAGAATTGAGCAAGAAACAATCAGGCCACTGCACATTTTTTTTATAAATTCAGTATGTGGATGAAACGGTGCTCTTAGAGGTATTAGAGACCTTAACGGCAAACGCCAAACTAGTAACAAACTTTTTTCTTAACTAGCGCTATCTTAATTAGAACGTGCATTTTAAGCATTAAATTTTATACAGCAAACATGAAACACATACGGCGGGCAAAGCTGAATTTGCTGCATGTTTGCTGAATACATCAAGCAATGGCCTATTGCATGCTTTCTCATATTACTGCTGAAAATCACGATTTTTATGTTTATAATTAAGTGAAATTGTTGCACACTTTAAAATTGTGGAGCTAAGACGCAAAGTTTTTTGGAGGTTTGGTGTTTGGCGTAAACAACATGCTAAAGGTCTCTATTGCTGTATTTTTTACTCACATAATTAAATGCAAACAGTAATCGCCTTTTTTACCAATTTTGTATGCTGTTGTACAATTTCAGGTGCAGATAATATAAAACACTGCAAAAATCATAGTGCTGGATTTACAACGTACCTATCACGACATCTTGATCATCATCAAGCTTTCCCTGATGAGCGGCGCACTTTTGGTGGTTATTTTCTTCTACAGAATTGATCAATATACAATTAGGCTACTGAAAAATGTTTTATAAATTCGGGATCTGAATATAACATGGTGTTATAGAGGTAATTGCTGTATATTTTTATTCCTAGAATCGAATTAGCCATTACTATTTAACCGTTCTTTTACTGATTCTTTTCATGTCGTCCGTTTTCATGCTAGAATATGGCAAAACACAACAGGAATAATAGTCTTGCATGGAATTCACAAGTTACCTGTCATTACTACTACATCCTGATGATCGAAGAGCGTTCCCTTAAGAGCAGCGTCTAGATTTTCATTATTTTCTTCTATAGATTTAATGAAGATACAATCAGGTTACAGCATAATGTTTTATAGATTCGCTATCTGCATAATATGGATTTATTGCCATGTAGTATACTTTGGCCTTATACTTCGGGAATTAGCACTATAGAATTAATAGTAGAGTACCATGGTGTTCTAATGGATTACTATTTTCGACTTAGGATGGAATTAGCTTATGCTATTACAGGAATGACGGTACTTAAATTCACAATTTACCCCTCACTATCACGTTTTGACAAGCGGTTCCTGATTGTTCTACATTTTCCGCTACAGAATTGAAGGAAATACATTCAGGTTACTACTGTACAATGTTCGTTTTGGACAAAGCATTCTATATCAGTACGCGGTATAGAAAGATATAAACATTTTTCTCTATATTTGTGAATAATTATTACTGGTTCTGAATATTCTTGTTCATTTTTAGGTTTGAATGTTGTAAGACATTGCAAAATTAAGAATGATGATGGTACTAAAATTTACAATTTACCTGTCATCACCACTTCTTGACGATCATAAAGCATGCTTTGAGAAGCGGTGCCTAATTGTTCTTTATTTTTTTCTATAGAATTGAGCAAGATACAATCAGGCCACTGCACATTTTTTTATAAATTCAGCATATGGATAACACGGTGCTCTTAGAGGTATTAGAGACCTTAATGGCAAACGCCAAACTAGTAACAAACTTTTTTCTTAACTAGCACTATCTTAATTAGAACTTGCAACAATGTTGTTTAATCGTAAACTTTAGTTTGTATTTCACGTATGCCGTATAAAATTTCATGCTTTAACAGCTGTGGGGTGTATTGCAGTCGTTTAAGCATTAAATTTTATACAGCAAACATGAAACACATACGGTGGGCAAAGCTGAATTTGCTGCATGTTTGCTAAATACATCAAGCAATGGCCTATTGCATGCTTTCTCATATTACTGCTGAAAATCACGATTTTTATGTTTATAATTAAGTGAAATTGTTGCACACTTTAAAATTGTGGAGCTAAGACGCAAAGTTTTTTGGAGGTTTGGTGTTTGGCGTAAACGTCATGCTAAAGGTCTCTATTGCTGTATTTTTTACTCACATAATTAAATGCAACCAGTAATCGCCTTTTTTACCAATTTTGTATGCTGTTGTACAATTTCAGGTGCAGATAATATAAAAGACTGCAAAAATCATAGTGCTGGATTTACAACGTACCTATCACGACATCTTGATCATCATCAAGCTTTCCCTGATGAGCGGCGCACTTTTGGTGGTTATTTTCTTCTACAGAATTGATCAATATACAATTAGGCTACTGAAAAATGTTTTATAAATTCGGGATCTGAATATAACATGGTGTTATAGAGGTAATTGCTGTATATTTTTATTCCTAGAATCGAATTAGCCATTACTATTTAACCGTTCTTTTACTGATTCTTTTCATGTCGTCCGTTTTCATGCTAGAATATGGCAAAACACAACAGGAATAATAGTCTTGCATGGAATTCACAAGTTACCTGTCATTACTACTACATCCTGATGATCGAAGAGCGTTCCCTTAAGAGCAGCGTCTAGATTTTCATTATTTTCTTCTATAGATTTAATGAAGATACAATCAGGTTACAGCATAATGTTTTATAGATTCGCTATCTGCATAATATGGATTTATTGCCATGTAGTATACTTTGGCCTTATACTTCGGGAATTAGCACTATAGAATTAATAGTAGAGTACCATGGTGTTCTAATGGATTACTATTTTCGACTTAGGATGGAATTAGCTTATGCTATTACAGGAATGACGGTACTTAAATTCACAATTTACCCCTCACTATCACGTTTTGACAAGCGGTTCCTGATTGTTCTACATTTTCCGCTACAGAATTGAAGGAAATACATTCAGGTTACTACTGTACAATGTTCGTTTTGGACAAAGCATTCTATATCAGTACGCGGTATAGAAAGATATAAACATTTTTCTCTATATTGTGAATAATTATTACTGGTTCTGAATATTCTTGTTCATTTTTAGGTTTGAATGTTGTAAGACATTGCAAAATTAAGAATGATGATGGTACTAAAATTTACAATTTACCTGTCATCACCACTTCTTGACGATCATAAAGCATGCTTTGAGAAGCGGTGCCTAATTGTTCTTTATTTTTTTCTATAGAATTGAGCAAGATACAATCAGGCCACTGCACATTTTTTATAAATTCAGCATATGGATAACACGGTGCTCTTAGAGGTATTAGAGACCTTAATGGCAAACGCCAAACTAGTAACAAACTTTTTTCTTAACTAGCACTATCTTAATTAGAACTTGCAACAATGTTGTTTAATCGTAAACTTTAGTTTGTATTTCACGTATGCCGTATAAAATTTCATGCTTTAACAGCTGTGGGGTGTATTGCAGTCGTTTAAGCATTAAATTTTATACAGCAAACATGAAACACATACGGTGGGCAAAGCTGAATTTGCTGCATGTTTGCTAAATACATCAAGCAATGGCCTATTGCATGCTTTCTCATATTACTGCTGAAATCACGATTTTTATGTTTATAATTAAGTGAAATTGTTGCACACTTTAAAATTGTGGAGCTAAGACGCAAAGTTTTTTGGAGGTTTGGTGTTTGGCGTAAACGTCATGCTAAAGGTCTCTATTGCTGTATTTTTTACTCACATAATTAAATGCAACCAGTAATCGCCTTTTTTACCAATTTTGTATGCTGTTGTACAATTTCAGGTGCAGATAATATAAAAGACTGCAAAAATCATAGTGCTGGATTTACAACGTACCTATCACGACATCTTGATCATCATCAAGCTTTCCCTGATGAGCGGCGCACTTTTGGTGGTTATTTTCTTCTACAGAATTGATCAATATACAATTAGGCTACTGAAAAATGTTTTATAAATTCGGGATCTGAATATAACATGGTGTTATAGAGGTAATTGCTGTATATTTTTATTCCTAGAATCGAATTAGCCATTACTATTTAACCGTTCTTTTACTGATTCTTTTCATGTCGTCCGTTTTCATGCTAGAATATGGCAAAACACAACAGGAATAATAGTCTTGCATGGAATTCACAAGTTACCTGTCATTACTACTACATCCTGATGATCGAAGAGCGTTCCCTTAAGAGCAGCGTCTAGATTTTCATTATTTTCTTCTATAGATTTAATGAAGATACAATCAGGTTACAGCATAATGTTTTATAGATTCGCTATCTGCATAATATGGATTTATTGCCATGTAGTATACTTTGGCCTTATACTTCGGGAATTAGCACTATAGAATTAATAGCAGAGTACCATGGTGTTTTAATGGATTAATATTTTCGACTTAGGATGGAATTAGCTTATGCTATTACAGGAATGACGGTACTCAAATTCACAATTTACCCCTCACTATCACGTTTTGACAAGCGGTTCCTGATTGTTTTACATTTTCCGCTACAGAATTGAAGGAAATACATTCAGGTTACTACTGTACAATGTTCGTTTTGGACAAAGCATTCTATATCAGTATGCGGTATAGAAAGATATAAACATTTTTCTCTATATTTGTGAATAATTATTACTGGTTCTGAATATTCTTGTTCATTTTTAGGTTTGAATGTTGTAAGACATTGCAAAATTAAGAATGATGATGGTACTAAAATTTACAATTTACCTGTCATCACCACTTCTTGACGATCATAAAGCATGCTTTGAGAAGCGGTGCTTAATTGTTCTTTATTTTTTTCTATAGAATTGAGCAAGATACAATCAGGCCACTGCACATTTTTTATAAATTCAGCATGTGGATAACACGGTGCTCTTAGAGGTATTAGAGACCTATAATTTTCTTCTATATATTTAATTAAGATACAATGAGGTTACAGCATAATGTTTTATAGATTCGTTATCTGCATAAGATGGATTTATTTTCCTTGATATGGTATGGTCTCTTTTCCACTTATTGAAACTATATGTGTTATAGTGTCATAACCCTAAAAGCTGAGTATGACGAAGCTATGTCCATATTTTGGCCATTACAACCATTCCACCTTTTTGTCTAGGTTGAATTGCTTACACTCACATAATGTATTTTATTTACTGTATTTTCAGGTACATGATTCTTTGGAATCCTTGTCTATTTACATGTTTACCTTCTTTCATGAGCGATGTGTTGCCGTTCCATGCCTTCAGTTTTTCAGAGTATATTTCTGAATGGAAAATATGGGAAGAATATTGACATAATGCATGTGAAAGAGTGAGAAACAAATAGGCTAGTATCATTTCCTTGCAATTCAGTTGAATATTAAGTTTATGATCCTTGAATATTTGATTTAAAAGAGTGAAAGGTTTGGTCTGCTTTTGTCAGATATATTTGCGAATTACAGCTTTAAGATTATGTGTACACTGAAATTGCGAAAGAAACAGTACCTAATTTTGAGAACTTCACAGTTTAAAGTTGTTGTTTTTTTCTTTCGACTCGTTCGCTCTGACAAAAATGTCGACTTATTTCGAGTCGTTCGCTCTGACAAAATGTTTATATAAAATTTTTCACCTGTTTGTATAAATAAAGTTGAAATTCTATTCATCTTATTCTCTGTTTTTTATACCATGTGTCCATGTATAAGTTTTTATTTATACATGTAAACGTAAAAACTGTTTGTATGCTCCTCGCATGACTCAACTCGCATACTAAGGCAGAACATAAACAAACTAGCTATATAGTAAACAATTAAAAGGCGTGTTGGTACAAGAGAAATAGAGCGTGAAACCTTCGAAAAAGGATAAGTATCTATGCATCACTGCCATGTACCAAAGTTGAGACAGAACTATTTCACTAAACGTGAAAGACGTTTTAGGTTATACAGGGTAGCGTTACGGGGTGTTAGGTTGCTAGTTTTCACTCTTTTCAATTATCTCTTAATAAAGCTGCGCATTGAACAAAGGCATAATCTTACATCGACAAAACATTGACAGGGGGTGGCGAGAAGGGTTCATTAGGTTTGGATAATTTCATTGCAAGATAATAAGATCAACAGAATGCCGGCAATTTTCGTGCCGGTATATGTGCATAATTATGGAAAGCCAAGGAACGCGTAACAGAAAAACAGCTTTTAAACCTTTAAATTTTAGCCTGCGCGCAGCCCAACGAAAAATCTCCTCACTTTGCTGGGGGGAAAGTTTAACTGTACGTAGGCTATTAAATTATGCAACCTTGGTGCCAGGGTTACTTTATAGTAAGTACCTTCATTTATTTTCTTCATTACTTCGCCGAAGTAATTTCTCGGTTTTCTCTTGCAGAGTTCTGAAATGAAAAAGTCTTACATCAGTCTTAATAGAGTGAGGGAATTTAATGGAGTTTTACGGTCTTCATTCTGATTGCTCATTGGGCTGCGAAGAATTATTGTCAGACCAAAAAATATGCCAAATGTATTTAATCAATTAATCAATAAGCATTTGCAATCACTAATGGCCAGCAATCGTGTATAGTGCAATCAAGTCTTCGTTAGGTGTAGAGATTTATTTTACATGACTAATTTCTAATATCTTATAAAAATAAAGATGGCCATATTTTGTACTTCCTTCACTATAAGCATTTCAAGTCGACACAAATAATCCTTCGTGATTTAGGAAGTTCTAAAAGTTTATCTTGCTGACGTCAGCATTATTTTTAAACACCGTATTCCATCCTCCGTTTTCCTTCGTGAAAATAAGGTAAAAAACGCAGGCGTACTCCTAAAACGGTACACCATTTACATCAAGAAAATAATGAAGGTTCTAATCACGGACAGCCAGAAGAGGGAGAAGCAATTTGCACTGGGCCCAGGTGACCAGATCTTCAGGGCCCAGTTTCATGCATGTATTGAGGAAGGATGTTTTTGTTCAGTTTCATGCATGTATTGAAGAAGGATGTTTTGCATCTTTGCACGTGGCTCGTGAGAGTAAAACTTGTATTTGTGATGTTGAAATGTTGTGACGTATTACCGAAAAGGTGTATTTGATTGCATTAACAATTCATATTTGATATCGTAAAAGATCTTACCCCGAAACGGTGGAAATCACATTTGCTATCCTCTAAATTTCTAACGTTTAGTCTAAAATCTCAAAAACTAACCCTACAAATGCTATTCGAGGTAGCTTCACACGATGCATACACAATGGTGCAAAACTAACCATGCTTTTTCTGTGATCCGCTTGATAGGAAGCACATTTCAAGCGGAACGCTAACATTGGCCTTATGTGAACTATTATAAGAATTAACGCAAAAATTTTTGAGCAGATTTATCCAAAATTTATAAGACATCTGTTAATGAAGTGCCCTCTCTAAAAACCCACTAAAGACTCGAGAAAATAAGGCTTGTGGTACTATATTGGAAATTCTTCAATTTTGAAAATGGAAGCACACCACTAACTGAGAACGTAGCAATCATGATCATACAATAACATCAGATTATAACAATCCAATAATTAGTTACAGTATCTGCCACGTGCAGCGGATAGTACGGATACAGTCAAATGCTGCACACGTCAGAAATCAGAATTGGCGACTCCTGCCTTTTTATTCTATTTTTTCTTTTGGTTAAGGACAAAGAAAATGAAAAAGTAAGGTACCAATAATTAAAACTTTGATATGTAATAACCTTTATTGCGTTTGTTGGCAAGATTATTTTGCTATCATGCTGTGTGGTCTTGCTTCACGTTTGTACCTTTGCTTTGAGAGCAAGAGTTTTGTAATACCAGTAATACTGGATTTAGGCCGAAGTTCATGTTAATATTTTAAGTTGGATGTGTACAAAGTTTAAGAATTGGTAGAGTAAATATTCTACTGAAATGGCTATGTTACATAAAGCTTTTGAATTCCTGGCGAGTTTAATAACCGGCGGTACTCCAAAAGTACCGTTCGTGGGATATTATTTACCGTCTATGTCAAATGTGACTGGGAGTGGTGACCCTACAGAGCTTTATTGCCCGAATGACAGGGTAGCCAAATACCCATATTACTGTCTGTGATCAGTTTTATTTGCCAAGTAGTTCTCTCAACTTAGTGAAGATTCGAGTTAAAGTGAATAAATATATAACATCGGCAGACATGCCATGTTTAAAGGGTGCATATTTCACATTGTTGATTATATTGTGTATACTTTTGAGGAAAATATTTGGTCTGACTAATAAATGGCAAAGTCTATTTCAGCAAAATGACAGTGACAGCAAATTAGTGGTTGTTCTAAATGGCAGTTTAGAAAAAATCCTTCCTCCTCCCTTTTAGCCTTCAAATGCAGTGCAACAAGTGCAGATATTTTTGGTTGGTTGTGCTTGCATGGGGAGTAACAAGTGCATAAACCATTATGTTTATGGCACTTAGAATGTGCCATATTACTTAATTGGCTATGCCATGCAAGAAAATTTCAAATGTGTATTATGTATTTCAGATATGTCATAACCAAGGCACACCTTAACCCATAAGGGGCCGTCTACCAATAGATTTTGTCCTGCATGTCACAATCCCATGCAATCTAGTGAATGTTTTATTTGCTTTCGCATTGGCCATGTTAGTGGTAAGACAATAAAGTACACTTATCAATGTTGTTGTGGGCACCAGCTAGCTGACATAAGATAGGACCATTGTTTGGGGTGCCCCATTGCATTGTTTCAAATCAAGAATACTAGATACTACAAACAATTTTGTACTGTCTGGACCTTTGCAAGATAAGGTAGTTCAATACCTTTTATCCTACGCCATGGCAAGTTCTTCACGCCGTAATCATAGCGTAGTTCCTCATTCTTTGATATTTTCTTTTTAGCGAAGAGGGCTAAATGATGTTGGCCATCCACAATTACCTTCTTGATTAGGCAATTGGCCAGTTTAGTCTCACTGTCATTGACCATTCTGCCAAGGCCCGTGGCAAATGTTGCATCAACACTTTATAAAGGTAAAATATCATATAAGCTTGATGTTATCTGACAGAAAAGAGGTTGAGGCAAATACCTAATTTTATATAGTGCTTGATGTATCTTTATGAAAATATAAAACCTACCAAAGAGTGTCAAAAAAGAACAAGAAGCTGCCAAGATCTTTTTTGTAGGCTTCTTCACGCCTAGCCCCTTCCTCCTTTTTAATCAATTCCCCCTTATATTCAAGGAGGAATTCTCCTTTTTCGAATTCCCGTTTTGTGAAGACCCCATAACCTATTGTATAATTAAAAACAAAATTCTAAATTAGCAGGGTGAGGAATTTCTGTTTGGCCTAATTTTGGACTTATTACATTCAAACAGTTCAAATTTCCTATATAAGCTATAGTTCTAAAGCAACATATATAGAGCAGGCTAGTTAATTAAGACTTAAGTGTATATACCTATGATGTTATTAATATATCTTTTCTCAAGGTCTTCACTATCCTTGGGCAATTTCTCATTGTTGGGCTCTTTTTGTCTCTGCAAAGCAAGCATCAAGGTACGTACATTATGAATTTTCACAGATATATATATATATATATATATATATATATATATATATATATATATATGTATATATATATTATATATATATAATATATATATATATATTTATATTATTATATTATATATATTATAATATATTATATTATATATATATATATATATATATATATATATATATATATATTTATATATATATATGCACCTATGTGTCATATATATACACCCATTTGCAAAAACAATGGCAGCAGATAGATAGATAGATAGATACTCAAAATCTAATTAGAATAGCCTGGGATTATATTTTGTTTAGAGCAATTAATAATCGGTTCAAGGGCTCAATATTGTTCACTTGTTGACTTTAATTAACATTTTACTTTTTAAATTTCCAAAAAAAATTAATATAGTTAACTGTAACTGCATGTGCACAGTACTAAATGCCAAAAATTCAGCTATTAGTAGGTCAATTATAATTTGCCTTTATTGCTCATTGCAGAGAAGGTTACTCTTAATGTTTTGAGGTAGCATTTCCAAATTTTTTACTCAGCAATGCATTTCCAAACAAATTATATTGTATTCTAAACCAAATTGTATTGTTTAAAATGTTTGAAAGCTGAAAATGCAGAGCTAACATAAACCTTTGCCAGCATTATATTACCCCAGGAACTTTATTATACCACAAGTTAAGAGAAACAAAGAAAGCAAATTGCAAAGTCAAACAGATTTTTGAGATATTATTTGGTGTAAACAGAGTCTAATTCAGGAAGTTCCTATTGGTTGATTATATAAATGTAATGAACACAACATGTACATATCAAATAATTTTTCTCTATGTTCCTCACATATACCAACACAAATTTGTTTTTTCAGGGTTATTTGCAGTGTCTATTGTACTTTACATCCAGCAAGAGGTGAGTCAATGCACAATTTTTTGTAGAGCATAAACCAGTTTTGTGGCAGATCAAAATAAATTACATTGCTTTATTTTAGGGGAAAAATTTTTTATCCAACCCAGATTATCTGATAATACTTCAAATAGAATATAAGATATTCCCACTGTTGAACAATGAATGATTTTGTAAGAATCAAATGTGGTATAACAACTGCCTAATATAGACAAAAACACTTCTCTGCCATGCTGCATGCTCCCTTGTTATATAAGATCTATTTAGTTTGATTTTAGGTAAATATTCTAAACAGCAGTCAGCATGTATTTTCCAGAGATACATTTTCATAAACTTCATTTGTGGATTTGCATTAACTCAAAATGAGGCTGACTGAGATCTGAACGATTGTAAAGAAGCTAACCATTTATTGAACAACTAGGCACTATTACTGCCTAGCTTAAACAGGCTTTAAACAACTTGACCCAGGCTAATAGTAATACTAGGGAAGTTACTCATTATACTCAAAGATAATATGCACCCTTCACGTACGAAGGGAAATAAACTGAAATATCCACTCGAGCGTCTCGAACTTTATTTATCTTTTCCCAGCATATCATCTAAGACTAAGAATGAATGGTTTATACGTGGCATGCAACGAAACTGGCGTGATGTAAAGTGAAATCGGCAAACAAATGGTAAATATCGACGCTAGAAGTAAAATACATAATGTACAACATAATAGAGGGAGGGCTATAATCTCTCGTCGGTTACCGCCATCTTTGAATTGCTAAAAGCCGGTCTAAATGAAGATTGTCCATGGTTTGGACAAAAAGTATTTATTTCTGTTTGCATTTCTTCACGCACGTCAAAAATGCACTTCGTCTTCGAAAAAAAAGACAGATGTGAGCAGTAAATCATTTTTCGCATACGTTATGACTTGGCTCTTTGTGCCAAGATAGATTTAAGATAAATATTAGATTCAATCTAACGGGAGTAACGCCATCGCACATCTGAGGTCTTCTAGGCGCATCTAAACGGAACGGCTAGAATAATTACATTCAAAGTTCGTACATATGTAGTATATACCGTCTATACAGCAATACTGCCAATAATGCAACCGTATGTGAGCCGTGTCCTTGGCCTTGTCCTTGGCTTAGGCATGAGTAGGCTAGTGGCCTAGTAGTAGTATGCTTGCCTTCGTGCATTTCAAATCTCAAAAAGTTGCAGCAAACATTCTATCTGTTGGTAGTTTATTATGCTGCATACACTTAAGTCCATAATATTTTCAATACTATTTAACTACCTGCGTAGCGACGACATTAATAAACCATTTTGTGACCTTGGCTCGGGTAAAGTATTGGTATTGCCAAGGTCGAAGTCCGATTCACATAAGAATTATCCCTATATCGCCCGTAGGTATTTATTAATCAAAAATGGACAAATACTTTTCCATACTAACTCCTCTGCTATTGTTTTTGCTAAAAATTGACTGCATACAAGAAAAACAACTATTGAGAGAGAACGTCCTTCTTTTTGAGTTGACGCACGTCATGAAAAGACGCAGCTACGCCTACGTTGTTGTCTGACAGCCTACGTTTAGTTTTAGCGCAACCTAGTTTTGATTAGGAGGCTAAAATGATTTGTAGTTACTATTATATAGACATTCTTGGCATATTTTTTATATTTTCACATTCAGGGGCCATATATGCAAATGAAAATTTTAGGTTGAAACCTTACTTTGATCCGAAGGCTCGAACGGGCTTCTTTTTGGTCCGCCATTTTAGTTCGCCTTTTGTCCGTTTCTTTTCAGTAGGATTTTAAATCTAAAAACACGAAAAGAAATAAGAAAATGATGACACACTTGCCTAAGAAATTTCATTTTACTTTTATAGAAAGGATGGCACTTACGTTTTCGCATATTTCTCAAGTACAAATATATAAAAGTCCGCGCGTTTAGTTTTGAAAACGACAACTTTTAACTGAACTGTCGCTCGCAAAAATTGCGCGCAACTGAAATAGTCTTATCGGCGTATAGGAACTGCTGAAACAGGCTGCAATTACTGAGAAACGGGCAATATTTTCGATTTTTCCGCAAAATATAGGTTTTACAATACATATATACGTAGAAATGGAAATCAAACTCACTTATGAACTCTTCTTCTTCGAATCCTTCTTCGGACGTTTTCCTCTTTTTTGGTGGCGAAACGCTTTTGGCTAAAATGAGAAACTCCGTTACAGTGTACCACAGAGTTCCTTGGAACTAGAGTGATGCTTGTAAACATCAAAAACCAACGTACCTGGATATGCTCCGTGAAAATTTCACTTTTTGATGACGGCAATTATCTGCGGTAGCTTCGATAACAGCTTACCCGTAAGGTTGCAGAATATCGAATGACCCGAGAAGAACGCAAACGCTGAAATGCATAAGTTGCTTGAGCATGCTTCATGCTGGTTCTGTTGCGTGATTGGCAGAAATTGCCGCCACAGGCTGTACATGATTTTGATTGGGCGTAGTAACCGAAGTTTTCGCACACTCGGGATACGCTAACACGGAACCCGACGAATTCAGGACCGAGCTCGCGTTCGTCTGATTTCCTTGTGTAAATACGTATATTTATCGTTTCCACCATGTGAACATCTTCACCTAAACCAGACGAATTCATGCGCGGTTTTAAAGTCGACCGGTCCTGTTTGAGTATAGCCTCAGTATTTCGAAAATAAATTAAAAGCTAGCCACCACATTTTGATTTTCTGAACCCACCTTTCCAATTACTCTTTCTCCTGATGGCGAATATCTGCCATTGGGGGGACCAATGACCAATTGTGATTTTTAGGAAAGAATTGATCTGTACTGTAACTGGTCAGTGATTAGGCCACAAATTACGTCACAACTTTGTCGTTTTCAATTTATAGGATCATCTTAAATGAGATGGACTTCATGTTTTACTCTCTATGTACAACGATGCAAAACATCCTTCTTCAACATATGCATGAGAGAGATTTTTTACTTTGAACGATACATGTGGAATAACCATGACACGAAAACGAGGCTCTGCTTTTGGCCCCTTAGCCTCGTTCACGTGTAATAACGGACTAAATGCAGAGAATCACAAAAACCCTGAATGAGCTAGTAATCTTATTAAACCATCTTGATTTCTACATAACAACCTACGGCACACTTTAAAGCTACCCTTTACTGAAGCTCGTTTTCAATCCAATATTAACCATCATGATATATCATGACATTATTTCATTGTCTTTTAGTATCAACTGTCGAGGGTTTAGCGAAGATGTCCATGACGACAAAGAAACTTGTAACACACTACCTACTTCACATCTGGCACGTCATGCTCCTATCGTTTTTTGGCCTCGTGGACGTTTTTGCTAGGTATCAGCAGCCCCGTTTACGCTACAGTCAATTTATCGGCACGGCACGGCTAAAATTGGTACCCGTACCCAATTTTATCAGTGTTCAGGCTACCAAAACAAAGGCCGAGCACAGATGAAATGGGCACGGGTACCCATATTAGCCGTGCCGCGCCAATAAATCGAGTGTAGTGTAAACGGGGCTAGTATGCTGAAAATATCTTTCTATCCCAAGTCCCTAACGTTATCACACCTCCCTATTATTTGTGCATGAATAGCTAACCAATGATATAAAATTTCTAACATCAACTATCATCATAAAGATTGCAGCATGTGCATAAATATTTTCCCTTAATGCACTGCAAGCATCCAGCGTAAAGATTGAAAAGGACGAAAGAAAAACGACCGATAACATGACTTTTGGCTTCACTGCTCATAGCCCGTTTTTCACTAGGCGGATTTGTTCGCGCAAACTGATTTCAGATTTGTGGAAAACGGGGTTATACCCGCCTTCGAATAGTGTCTTGTCACTGCAAGTATCGTGAATACATGTATTTTCTATATCTGCACGACACATCGGTTCTAACTTTGCCCGTCGCCTAATTTTATTTTATCAATTTGCCTGTAATGTACTCAAACCGCCAAAACCGCCATATAATAGTCCAATAGGAAAGTTAATTTTTTAGAAAGTAATTTGATCTTTAAGCTTATCTTACGTACATGCATCTACCATCTTCAGGCATCAAACGTAGTTTTTCTATACCCTACTGTGAATATGTTTTCGACTGTGAATATTTCGACTGTGAATATGTCAGTGTGATACTCAGTATGATACTCCAATTTTTGACCGTAGATTATAGTTGAGAGTATCACTATCAGAAAGTAAATTGCCCTGGGTCCGGGTGTTTAAAAGATATTATTATCGATTTGCTATTATCAGTTTAGTGAAGAGTGTGCTGAAATATTTAGATGTAAATTACTAAATAGTTTAGTTTACAATGGAAGTAGCTACATGCATATTTAAAGATAAGATAACAAAATTTGAATAAAACCCCATAGATTCAGGACAGTGGCAATGCACGGCAATTAGTACAGGGTGTATAAGAAAGGCAACCACTTATAATATTCATTCATGAATATTTGCTTTAGTGGCTTTCCATACGAACACAAAGGATTGGGTATTCATGAATTTTTGCGTTTTTAGTGCAGTTTGAGAAACTTTGCAGTATTGTGATGAGTGGCGAAAATTTAAACGAGTCAGTAAGTCAGTCAGTCCTTGTGTAAACTTTACGGGGGATAAGCTAATTTATGCGTATAGTAACTTTTTGAACATGATCAGTAATTTAAAGTTTTTAAATCAGTTTAAATTGCTTTATTTATATGCAATATCCCTTTTTCTAAGTTCACCAAAATATTGAGGTATTTTGACCGTTACTGTAAATTTTGAATCATTGCTTTTCCGTGGTTTGGGTTTAAAGAGTTTGCGTAGTTTACCCCCCGGAACACCCGATTTTTTCTTATACGTCGCAACTGCGAATGTGCCGTCGAGCCTTGAGGGTTGAACATTGTTCACGATGTAAAGAAACGAGGAGCGACAAGCATTGCTTCAAAACATTCCGGGCGTAAAAATCGAGCAATTCTTTGAGAATCTACGCAATTTATCAACTTATATTATGAATTACGAGCATTCAATTCAACACAAATATAATTTGGAAGGTTTATTCCATAAATAGAGCTAAGAGGCTAGGAAGAAACGACATTTTGTCGACTGTGTTGTTTATGTATTGATAGATCTCTTACACGAATATATATTATGTCGATAGCAAGTCGATACCTTGTATTCTGCATACAGTACATAAATGGTCATACAGTACATAAATGATACTATACAAAATGGACATTTTGTGCAGTAATCAAATCATTTACGCGGAATACAGTATTGATTATAAGTATGTTGTTTTGTATCGATTTACGCGTCGAAGTATCCACATCATAGACATAATATGCACCGCGGTTTTAATATTTACATTATTTACAACGCAACTATTTTGGCTATTCTTATGAAATGACGGATAAATTGTTGCCATCATATAAATGTACTGAATGTAGTCACAGTTGTTTGACGAAAAAAATACACTAAACTGAGAAAATCGCGCCCGGTTTACATGGGCAACTAAAATTATAATTTAATAGTGACAATATCCGCGAGTAACGTAACTTGAGTACTTTGAGTAATTTCCTGTTGATTAATGTTTAACCTAGTTCATCAAATGTTTATGTTGGGACAAACGTCTGGTTGCTATCCTTGGATCGCTAGTTTATACACCCCGTGTGTTACCCGTGGTGTTACTAAAGAAATAGAAAACATTTTCCATGTTTCTATACAGTTTTAGTATACACCCGACTATTGTCTATTGCAAATCCTATATTCTGATAGGCTACTCAACAATTGTCTATTCGTGATGGTTAACGTTTTGGAAAAATTCGCTCGCGCGAGCGTATAAAATTGAATTGATTAAATTATTTTCTCGAAATTAATATATCTAGGTACAGGGTACAGGGTATACTAAAACAATTAGACAACTCGCCCTCGTTGTCTAGGGTTGAATAATCAACTCAGGCTTCGCCTTCGTAGACTTTTCGCTCATAGACAACTCGGACTCGTTATCTAATTGTTAAATAGAAACACGCTTTTTGACCAATCAGCACGCGCGTACTATAAATGTTATATTATAAAAGATTATATTATAAAAGATTATATAAAATCACATGCACAGCCTATAAAAGTTAACAAATGAAAACTATTTTTTGTTCATAACTAATTTATTCAAGAATGTTTCTCACATACATACATATGTGTGTTATAGCTAATTTCATATAAGAGACCGCCAGACCGGACACTATGTCTGACATGGTTACATTATTATTATTATTATTATTATTATTATTATTATTATTATTATTATTATTATTATATTACATTTTCTGCCGCAGAAATACTTGGGAAAATCCAAAATTACTAACTTTTTAAAATATCTGAACTTCTAAATCTATCTATATAAAGTAATATATATACATATATAGTCAATATTGATATAAATTCTTGTTTTTGTTAAATATTAGGATATTAGTTGTGGTTCAAGTAGCCGATTGTAAAGACCTACGATTGTAACTTCGTCCGAAATGAGCGTCTGGCCGACTTGGACCCATACTGGCTTTCAGACTAATTTAACAAAAGCTGGTGATGTCACACCCGCCTAATGTGCGCCTTGTGTTAGTTGTGTATAACTCGATTTAGCTATACTATAACAAATTCGCTAGCAATATGTACACCAAGTCACCAATGCTACTCGCGTGGTCCCGACGAAACTCACTTTCGGTTGGAATCGCACACTTTTCCCACGTCAAAAACATGCAGTTGTTGGTATCATTCATCAGTCATTTTGTATGGCCGTGTAGACAGATGTAATTACTTGTCCCTGCTGTAATCTGCAGCACATTTCCTGTTGTCAGCGACTAGTAAATAAAAATGAATGTGTCTCTCGTCAAAATGTACAGTGTGTTTCCGAATTGGTCATGATTATATCTTTATTACGGGCCAACAATTTAACAGAAGCCTGTTTCTGGTTCCTGACCTGTTTGTTGGTTGGTGTTAATTAGAGTGGCAAACATGCATACATAAGTAATATCTAATTAGCCCAAAATGGCCTAATGGAAATCTTTTAAATTATAACTGTTATTGCTTCCCAACATCCATTTCCCTCTATTGATATTAATAATTTTATTAACATTCTATATCGTCAATAAAATTATGCTCACTCAACTACAGGCTATGAAGTTTGTCAAAAATCATAAGATGCTAAAGCATGTCTTCAACAAGAAAAAGACTAAAAACCCACTTTTGCATGATGCAATAGATATATGGATCCTTAACTCCTCAAAATTTAGGATTTGTCTTATTTTCATAGTATACTAAAAGTAGTTTTAAGTGATAACTTAATTAACACTCGACCCTTGTAATTCACCTCAGAAAAAGCCCACAAGTTCCCATGCAATATTATGTATATATTTATATGTGTCTTATGTATATATCAATAATGTATATATCTATTTTAAGGTTTTCGAAGTAATAATTAATAGCCATTCAGATTAGCACTGAAGTGTGGAATTTAGAACTATACTAGATAGCTATTGTGATATTACTATTATTAAATAATAAATTACACACAATTAGTTCTCTGTTACAGTGTTACTTGTTGAAATATTTTTGGCAATGATTGTAGCAATAGATTGTTTGTATGAATAGATTCATCACAGACATAGAATCAAACTTTTATCATGATATTTATAGTTGATAGCAGAAATACAGAATACAGTAAACAAGTGAAAAAAATTGAAGTTACTGATGATTAACCAAAAATATGAATTTTGTATTTTACCATAAATCCAGAGTCTTGTATGAATGGGGTTGAATCACCTTACCAAATAATTTAGCTTGTGAAATCTATAGGCAAAGTATAAATTACTAATTACTTATTAGTATTTCGTGAATTCCAGGAGTCGGTTGTTCAAAAGCCGGTCAGCTTAACCCTGGGTTAAAGCAAATTTTTACATAATTTTTTAATTTCTGGTTTGCAAAGTTGAATATCTTTTTTCATAAATATTTTCTGGACCGATAGAAGTGATTGTATTTTCTAAAGTTTTAAAACGAATAGTTGTTCAGAAGACATAAACTAAAACACTGGATTAAAATTTAACCCAGGGTTAGTGCTAACCTAGCTTTGAACAACCGGCCCCAGGTTATGAAAAAACATAGAAGCAACATGTTTTTGGAGTTAATAATTTTTTATTAGAAATAATTTTTGGTATTTGCAAATTGCGCCCTGTGAGTGTTCGTGTGAAGATTGCTCACCAGTTGAGTCAAGGCTGTCAGTAAAACCAGGAACAGCGGAACAACGGAACGGTTACGGAACGGGGAACACCGGAACAGTAAGAATCCGAAATAGAACAGCAAAAACATTGTTTTAAATATTGGCAAAAAAAATCGGGGATGATAGCTATAATGCTGTACATGTTAGTTGATGATAGCTATAATGCTGTGCATGCATAACAGTTATTCAGTTAAGTATTGCCAAGAAATTTGTCTGACCCTCGCTGTTCTTATACGGCAGCATTCTTGTTCGTTGTTTTTATATTATATATGATCAACTCCAGATGCGCATTTTATAGCAAAAGACGTCTAAGACGTTTGCTATACCCGGTATAATCTTTAAAACCCGACTTATGCGAATCATAATTTGTACTCAACTATTAAGGTAAGTTACGGCTCCTCGCCGCAAGCCAAGCGTTACAGCAGACATACACTGTATTCATGACTTTATTATTTTGCTAAAACCCAAACGCAAAAAATATCAAGTGCAATAAATACGTACACAGTTATAATGAAAAATCTCCTGTTACAGATTCGCAATAAAGCGGAGCGAAGCGGAAAAGTCGATTAGTGACGAATACGAGTGCAAAAGGCAATATTCAAAACAGTCATTGTTTTACAGTATTATAGTATCACGCCAGATTTTTTTGCCAACTTTAAAAATATTGTTTTTGCGGTTTTGTGTTCCGCATGCTGTTTCGGAAACATCATTTCTGTTTCAGTCTTCCGCTGTTCCGTGTTCCCGTCTTCCGCTGTTCCTGAACCAATACCGTTGAGCAATGTAACAAAATTAAATGATTTACTGTTACGGTGTTTTTCAAGACTAAAATTGAATTTCTGAAACTGAAAATCTGAAATCACTGGCCCATCACTTGGTGAATTAAAAATGGTCTCATGTGAGCATACTAACTAGCTTTGTTTATGATTGATTCATGATTGTCCATGCTAGTTATGATTTATTTTACATTATATTAATTAAAGCTAGCTTGTCAGTTGTCAACTGAGGGTATGCTCATTGCTCAAACCTCCAGATTTTTGACGAATAATAACACTTCATAGAATATAAATAGATCTTAAGGCTGTTTTCCATTTCAATCGAATAATTGTGGTGTACATCATTGTTTCCTGACCACCCGGCTAGAACTAAACTCTGGAACTCATGACTTGGTAACAAAGGAATATGCTACAGTACGTATACATTTCGCTAGTCGCTACGAGATATACGGCTGTAATGGAAAACGGTCTTTATACAACTTACTATCTTGACCACGCCTATAAGCTATTTTTTGTTTCTCGCCATTTCTTAAACTGCGTGGCTTTCCAATATTTTACTCTCTAGATTTATTAAAAACCCCCAGATTTATTGTATTTCTATCAGTATGAAGTTTGCCTTGTTTTAGTAATAAACAGCTCCTTACCCTTGGAATGCATGTTGTCAGCTTTTAATTTTAAATAGCCTAAAGTTAGGGGCATAAGGCTTGTCATGTTGCTTTATATATGGAATCTCCAGTGCCTTAATTTACAAGGGGTTTTATAGGTCTCTAAATTGAATTAATGATTTTCTGGTATCAAAACCAAGTTGGATGAGAACATTTTTTTAATGATAAATATTAGTGGCCAATTTATAACTTTAAACAAAGCCATTTAAGTTTTTTCCGATTTAATTTGTAATGTAACTTTAAATACCATGAACTATATATAAACTTTAAATAGGTCATCTATTTTTACCTAAGGTATAATTTTACATTAAGTCATAGTGAGAATAAAGAATAGATGGGGAAGTATGTGGGAATTAAAGTATGATACTCAGTTTGCCCTATAATAAATAAAAACATGTCAATTAAAAATATCATTCTTTGCAAATTTACATTGGATAGATGTTTTACAATGTGTCACACACCAAACAATTAAACTGTTGCGTGCATATTGGTGAAATTTTTAATATTTATAAACTTCTGGTAAAAACAATCAATTCAAAAAGAAATTAATGCAAAATGTGAATCAGTGAATATATGAATATTAGTCACTTAATACTTTTCCCCAGCCACTGCAAGCTTGGATTTAATCAATGCTGATATCTGTGTATGTTATGTATGTCATTTGTGGATATTTAAGACTAATAAAACATTAATTTTTACAAATAGACTTGAAATTACAAATAGACTTGAAATATTATTGAGTTATGCAGGTATATAAGGTCCCATACCAGAATGGTCCACTATTTTATCTGTGCTGAGAAGTGACGTACATTAATATGGCATCACAAGTAAAAAAAAAATTTAAAAGGCAAGAATACTAGAAGAGGTTGACCCAATAACCAGACATTCAAAGTCATAATCTCTTTTATTTTGATTTAACTAAACATATATCAAGCCTGTAAGAATTAAAGAAAGAAGCTACTGATATGTGGATATTTAATTAATAAAACATTCATGAAACTGGGTGCTAATACTTAATAGCTTATGTCTTATGCCTATACTTAATGGCTGCATAGTTTATGTGCGTGACCTAAAATGTATATAAATATAGTACAGGGGCTCTCCTTCCCGCTGCAACTAGCATTAAGTCTGCCACATGTTTATTTTAGTAAAAAAGTGTATATGCATTCACTACGGTATAATCATATTCACAATAATAGACAACACTAACTTTCTTCAGAATGTTTATAGTACCTACCACTTCTTTTTCTTTTCTAGAACTGGAGAAATAAATTTTCCATCTAGTACATAACCATCATCCGTTTGGAGTAGATTCAGTGGTGTGGTGAGTACCTGCAGATTAACTTTGTCTTTACCAAGCAATCGCACTGCTGTACAAAACTTTCAAATGCCAGACTGAAATGTTTGATATATACAAGGTGTCTAAAAAAAGGTAATCCAACTTTAGCGTGCTGGTGTGCGTGAATTACACTACAGAGGAGCATCATTTTTTGGTTTTGTAACAATAAAGTTCTAGCTATTGAATGCCGTGTTGTTTTTAAAATACAGGGTGTATCAAATACAGGGTGTATCAAATACAGGGTGTATCATCTCATTTTTTTGAGACACCCTGTATGTGCAACGGGCATGCAAATTAACATCTCGCTTTCAATTTTATCCATCCGTGGGTTTAGTATTATAATAAGGCATTTAAATTCCAACAAAAGCTTAACTGCAACAGTAGGTACTTTCTTATACACCCTGTACGGAAGAAGAGTGAGGGAATGCAAGCATGTTAAATAATCTCAGTGGAAATCACATTCTTTCATCTCTGGGAATTAAGCTTGTACAAACCTTTTGAAAATGATTATAGGCCCTTTGGGGACTTTAAGCCGGTTTTCCACTAGCGATATTTTTCGCGCGAAGCGACTATATTCCTTTGTATTTGAGCAATTTGTTCCAGATGGTTGCAGTTGAGAGCTCTGAAACAAAAGTAAAATGTCGCTTCGCGCGAAAAATATCGCTAGTGGAAAACCGGCTTTAGTCAGGAAGTTACAGCCTAGCAACTACACAAAAGCAATGCATTGACATAATCAATGTGAAACTGCAAGAATTGTTCTCTTGGGATTGTTGAAACCTAGCTTTTACGAAACGGGGAACATTTCTGGTTGAAGGCATGTGGAATGGCATGTGGCCTTTTAAATAATCGCGTGTAAATACGTTTTGACACCTTTATTATTAATTTGTTTTTCTTTTGTTTCATTTGACTCAGAGGTGAAAATATGTGACTTTGACCAAGATTTTTAAATGCTCTCTCATTTTCTCATTTTCCCTCCATATTTTAAAAACAACATGGCATTCGATAGTTAAAACACTGTTCTTTCATAGTATAAATAGTATTTATATTTATATTCGTAAGTTGAAGTTGGATTACCTTTTTTTTGAGACACCCTGCATGAATTAACAATTGATGAGTTCAAAAACAAACAATGCTCAATTGTATATCAGTGTTTTTATACCTCATTATCATCCTTTTTTGACAACATTTAAAAATTCTTCCTTGTTCAATGTTTCCTGTTTAATATTATATCATCTAATATATTTGAATATATTTGAACAATAAAATAATGATTTGGGTAAATAGTGGATAATTGATTTTACATACTTATTACTTACCAGCCTTTAAGGCTTCGTTGTTTCTTGTGAGATAATATTGTCTGCACTCAACATCAATCACATAGGTACGTTTTTCAAAAACTAGTTGATAGTTGATACGTTAACGGAGGTTCATATTAAAACCATCAATATAAGATAACCAGGTCACATCAATTACATGACCTTTAGTAAAAGGTTATAATATTGTGGTTATTTATGTGCCAATTTGTAATGTGTTAAATCCTGTTGTTAGTCCCCCCAAAAGCTCCATTGATCGACTTAAGCACAGGGTGCTTCACTAATTACTAATTTTTTTGGGATGAATTTTAAACAGATTCCAAAGCTCAATGCTATACTTTCTGGGCCATTTCTCAGTAAAGATATGTCCATTTTGTAATTCATAGCTACAACTTGTTTATTATTATGTTGCTAAGGAAAACCACACTTGAAGTTGATCATCTGTTATTCCATCGAGAAGAATCAACACACTGAAGTCACAAACTTTAGTTGGTAAATGGCGAAAAGTTAAAAGCGTCCAAATTTGCGTTTACCTTTATTTTGTCAGGGGTAGGTAAGCTGCTCATTGTTTTGTAATAGCCATTGTAACTTTTGTTAACATTACACTATCTCACCTGACAAGGCAAGAAAAATAAGTACAGCCGGCTGCCTGTGAACAAAAGTCAGCAACCTTATTCTCCAACATCTGGTATCAATTTTCTCACCTAGAAGTTTGATTGTATTTCCACTGGTTTCCTCGGAGAAGAGAAATAAATGAGACCGGATTTCCAGCAGCCGGCGCAGTTTTGGTCGCATGAGAATTTTCTATTTTGCTCGTTTTGTATTATAAAATCACAACATTGATGCATCATTGCATGATAAATTGTGAAAATATGTATAATATGAGGAAATATTGTTTATAATTCTTGTGAAAAGTGACCGATCTAAGAGGTCCGTTTTGCTAATGTGGCCATGATTAGCGGCTATTAGGGCCTGAATTCTATTGTAGCTACTTAATAATAACTTCGCACCAAATGTGGTATAACAACTTCCTAAATAGACAAAAAACGCTCTCCTTATAGGTCGAAACGTCGAGAAGTGTTTCTTTGTCCGGACGGGGACCCTTAGGTCGAGAAGTGTTTTTTTTTCTATTTCAGTAGACAGTTGTTACACCACATTTGATGCGAAGTTATTCTTAAATGGATACGGTAATTGTTAAGATAAACATTAATATTCAAATGACGTCAGTCTATCTATGAACACGTGTCATGATCACATGAACACTAGCAGTATAAAGTTTTGTTTCATGTAGTTGTTAAGTTAGTTGGAACTGTTCAAGTAGTTGAACTGTTGTAGTTGACTCCAGTACTTGTAAGTTGTATAAGTTTTCGTTAATAAATATTGTTATATACAAGTCTTCCACCGTCATGAGTTTAACAGGTTATGGGCCCAGTCACAGTCATGGCCGCTTATTGTTCGACGGTGATGAACGAAAGTACGAGTTATGGGAAGTAAAGTTTCTAGGGTATCTGAGGCTCGAAAAGTTAAGCGATACCATACAAGGACCATTGGCTGACAATGCGTCTGAAGAACAAGTACGAACAGACACAACCAAAAACGCGGACGCATTTGCCAAACTGATACAAGTACTAGATGATCGCAGTCTGTCGCTAATTATCCGAGACGCAGTGAATGATGCATGGACGAAAGGCCCTGGCAATCCTGCGTGAACATTATATATCGAAGGGCAAACCACGTGTTTTATCCCTATACACTGAACTAACCTCTCTTACAAAATCGAGCGAAGAATCTGACAGATTACATGCTGCGGGCAGAGACAGCATCCACATCTCTAAAATCCGCGAATAAAGCAAACACCGTATCAAGCTTTCACACGGCACAAGCCAAATATTCAGAACATGCATATTTTTTGTACCGTTTGCTATGCATGCAAACAGGAAAAGAAGAAACTAGATGCGAGAGGGGAACAAGGAATATTTGTTGGGTACGATAAGGGAAGTCCAGCTTATCTAGTATACTTTCCCCAAACCGAAACTATTAAACGTTGCCGCATTCTGCGTTTTTCTGATAAATTTGAAATTGTAAGCGATACCCCAAAACAAGCACAAGCAATGACTCAAGAACCAATGATTGGCGAAAGCCTTGTTCTAAAATTGCATAAATCGTTGTATGGTTTGAAACAAAGCAGTCGTAATTGGAATAGTGTGTTACATTCTTATCCGTAACAAGTGAGGGTTTTATTCAGTCGGAATCTGACAATTGCGTTTATGTTAAGGTAGAAAGTAGTGCAACTACAATCCTAATAGTTTGGGTAGACGATATTCTAGTAGCTTCAAATAGTACAGACAGTTTAACACAGGTGAAGAGAAATCTTGGAGACAGTTTCAAATGAAAGACCTAGGTGTGTTGTCGTGGTTTTTAGGAATAGAATTTAACTGTACAGAAGGCACTATTAAGATGAGTCAGACTAAATACATAGAGAAAGTCCTATCTAGATTTGTAATGCAAAACATATAGATGTACGATATCATTTCGAAAGATCTGAGATTGAGAAACATTTGTTAAATTAAAAGTAATGTATGTTCCATCGAATGATAATTTGGCTGACATATTTACGAAGCCAGTCACAGGATCAAAAATGAAAGTACTTCTGAAACGTATCCTAGCAGAGTAAACTCAATTTTTGTAAATAGTTATATTTCTATCAATGTTAATATTATATGTTTAAGTTCTATGAACACGTGTCATGATCACATGAACACTAGCAGTATAAAGTTTTGTTTCATGTAGTTGTTAAGTTAGTTGGAACTGTTCAAGTAGTTGAACTGTTGTAGTTGACTCCAGTACTTGTAAGTTGTATAAGTTTTCGTTAATAAATATTGTTATATATAAGTCCTCCACCGTCACGAAATTAGATCTGATTATAAAACAAGATAGCGGATATATCGCGATAGCCGATGTTTTTGATCGCCAATATCTTGCGAAGTAAGGAAGATAAACAAATTTTGTAAAAAGGCTCTATAAAATTGTGCTTCTTGTGGCAGGGAAGTATACTTGGCTCCATCCTGTTTATAATATACATCAACGATCTGCCAAATTGTATTGAAAATACAATGCGACAGAGCGTAACTAGGGGTTAATTTTTTTTGGCGGGGTGTGATATTCGTATATTCTGTTCCGCCCGACGGATTTCTTTTGAAGACACGTATGCGTCGGGCAGAACAGAATATATGATCGACCCCCAATTAACGTTGTAGTTACGTCCCTGTTCCTAAAATTTTCGCTGATGAAAATTTAACCGCGGCATTCAGTGGTGAAACGTTGAATGAAGCAGAACACGAAAGCGGATATTGACTCCAATAGTCAATGGAAACGTTTAAAAATGGCTTTCAGTTTAATTGTAAAAACCGAATATATTTTTATTGCTTCAAAACATAAGATAAGCCTCGTTTACACTATACTCGATTTATTGGCACGGCACGGCTAAAATGGGTACCCGTGCCCATTTCACCCGTGCCTGGCCTTTGTTTTGGTAGTCTGAGCACTAATAAAATTGGGCACGGGTAGCCATTTTAGCCGTGCCGTCCCAATAAATCAAGTGTAGTGTAAACGGGGCTATAATTTCTTCTTTTTTATTGAAGCACTTTGTACCGTCGAGGGGATGAGCCGGTCCGTTGGCCTTATAGGCATTTTAAGTTCCACCATACATGTGTGAATGGAAATATGCCATACATGAACCGACTTTTGTAGTGTTTGTATTGGATATGAAACTAAAGTTTTTGAAATTTGATTAGTTCTTTCAGATTGTCCCGCGGAAATGAGCATTTCAGACCTCAGAGTTGTTTTATTTCGAGGGAATAAAAATAGTTCAAAGGGTTACTGTTACAAATTTATATCTATTTGATATTTCCAGATAATTTTTAGTCTATATGTTTAGCCACAAGTTTCATTAATGGTAGTGCATTATTTAAGTCAAAAGCTCGGCACGAGGTAATAATCTCTTTCGGATTTAAGCCGGACCAATATCTTTCGCCCCAAACGGGTTTCCAGACCGGTTTTCTTCGCCACTATGATGATTTTCGAACCGACTTTTTAGGCTAATTTTAAAAAATCTGGGGTATCACAGCCCATCATACCCAGCCCCCTAATGTGATTGTGCGCACTCAGTTCACTCCAGTGAACTGAAATAAGACTGGAACGCTGTCTCTCTGACTTTCCCTCATTAATGAGTGAAGCCAAGATGGCGGATGATGAAGCCTTGTAGGTATGATCCAGGCCTCAGGCGCGAAAGTTTCAAAGGAAAATAAAAATTGCCGCCATTTTACTTAGGCGAAATTTACGCGCCTGAGGCCTGGATCATACCGACAAGAAAGGCTTCATGATCCGCCATCTTGGCTTCAAACTTCCAACCGAATGAGCGTTTCAGTCTTATTCGAGTTCACTCAGCTAATCTCGTTCCGCGAGCCCGCGATTCCTCGGGGAACGAGATTGTTCACTCAGCCAATCAGAGTCATTTGTTTTCTCGCAAGAGGAATCGCGGGCTCGGGAAACGAGATTGTCAGCCAATTCACTCAGCCTAGTCCCTAGGCTTCTTATACGTTCCTTAGTACACAGCCTAGTCCCAGGCCTTGTTAGCGCGCACTGCTGATAATTATATGCCGGGCAGCCCACGCTGAGAGGCCTAGCACAAAATGTTGAAACTTCAAAAATTGTCCCTGATTTTGTCTCTACAAGCAGCCTAGTCGAAAGGCCTGCTCTTATTCGTTCCTTAGTACACGCGGCGAGGCGGAACTGAGAGGCCTAGAACAAAATTTTTATTTTAGCTAAAGTGGGGACTTTTTGTCCCGACTTCAGTTCTGTATTTGGCTGAAATAAGCTACGGTAAATTAGTTATGCTGCCAGAACTTCGGCTGAATATTGATACAAACGTTGCCATGTCATTCGCCGTCAATGCTATCGACTATCGAGTAAACCCAAGTCCACGTACATGTTTGAAAGGCACGTCAACCACTTATTGTCTTCTGGATATGATCCACACCTGGTTGTGTAATTTAGAATCCCCTGAAAGATATCTTAGACTTTGCTTCCTTGATTTCGCAAAGGCGTTCGACCGTATAGGGCATAATTTATTGATATCAAAGCTGTTAGGCATAGGTGTCAGATCGTCTCTGTTACCTTGGATTATCAACTTCCTCACTAATCGCCGACATCGCGTTAAACTCGGTGGAGAAATCTCGGATTGGTTGCCAATGAAAGCAGGCGTACCCCAGGGAACTAAACTTGGACCATTTTTGTTTTTGGTCATGATAAATGACCTTGATGTAAAAACACACGAAATGGATATTTGGAAGTTTGTGGATGATATATCAACATCTGAATATGTCACAAAAGGCAGCAATTCAAAGATTCAGTCTGGTCTGGATTCAATCAATTCTTGGGCTTCGAGTAAATTTATGAAACTTAATCCCAAGAAATACAAAGAACTACGTGTTTGCTTCATTAGGAGAACTCCCGAATTATCACCATTAATGATTGACGGTCATTTGATCGATGTTGTGCGGTCTCATAAAGTACTTGGTCTGGTTATTCAAAGTGATCTTTAAATGGAATGAACATAGAGAGTCAGTCGTATCCAAGGCTTCTAAACGTTTATATATCATCCGCTCTTTACGACGAGGTGGCGTTCCCGCGGAGGATTTACTAAGTATATATTTTGCCCTGATACGATCTGTTCTGGAGTACTGTTGCGTTGTATGGCACCACTCTTTACCTTTATACCTTGCTGAAGAGTTAGAGCGAGTACAAAAACGAGCTCTGAGAATTATCTTACCGGGCTATTCTTATAAGGAAGCCCTAGCACGCCTTGGGTGTTCCAGATTGGATGAAAGACGAGAGCAACTTTGCCTTGATACAATGAAAAGTATAGAAGAAGGAGGACCTTTGACAAAATATGTTCCATTGACCAGGGCTTGTACAAATGATTATGAACTTAGAAACTCGAACACATTAACAACAATAAAATGTCAAACAGCAAGATACCGCCGTAGTTTCTTTCCTAGTACAGTAGTTTTATTGAATAACAGTAAATAACTTCATGTGTAATATTTTAACATGAGTATCGTTGTAGTAGTGCAATAAGATTTTAAACTTAGATTTGACTTAACTTTTTAATGTGTAAATATACTGTAAATAATAGCTTAACTTTTTTATGTGTAAATATACTGTAAATAAATGCTACTTCCATAATTTTTGTAAATGCACCAGAATTTAATTAATTGCGAAGATGCATGTGTATTTTAAACCATTAATAATAATAATTAATAATAATAATAATAATAATGTTTATGATTATAATAAGCTTCAATCCGCCAATTTCAATTATTCTCGCTTCTTTTATAACGGTTATCTCTTGTAAATTGCAAACATTTACTTTGTAATAACAATTCTAATTTCTATAGTTCTTTCTAGAGCAGAACTATATATTGCATGTTATGGATCATGCCCTGTGTCTTACTGAAAGCAAAGAGAAGCTTTGTACCAAGCGTCCTGGCCGCGCTGGTCCGTCCTCCAACGTCTTCAGGGGCCAGATTGCCCGCTGCGATTGTCTTTCAGAATTGGCTGGATATTATTAAAGGTTGTAGGACTGAAGCTGGGAAATCTAGAATGATGTAAAAAAAATCAATAAATTGGGTCCCATGGCCAGTAGCAGTTGCATGTTGGCTCGAAAATTTGAAGGTGGGCCAGCCTTAGTTTCGGCACCCCATATCAATCATGCGTCCCCGCACCCTTTTGCTAGATCACCCCCCTTGTTAGAGAGTTCGTGGAAGTGCACAGATCGAGTGCTGTAGACGCGAGTGGCCTAGAGGAGCTTGGGTAATGGCAAGTTTCAAGAACGATAAAATAGATCAATGAACACATATCGCTTTATATTCAGGGGCGTCCATCCAATAAATATCCATGGGGGAGGTTGTCCAAAGTCGCACTGACTTTGCAATGTTTTTATTTGGTATGGAAAGTCTAGTATTGGGCGTATATTACATTACGATATTAAGAGCTGTCTATTACAATAAAAATTGCCCGATTCGGTGAACGGAAGAAAGCACAGCGTTCGTTTTCTTGCAACAGTCCCATGGCTTAGATTATGCTTAGGGGTATAGCCTCACGTGGCGCCGAGCGAGAAACTTTTTGAAATTTGAGCATCTCATGGTCTTATTACGGCCTTTTTCATGAAAATTTTTACCTACAAACTACATTTAAAGAATAAGTTAAATTTCGAAGCATTTTGTTTGGTTTATTTTTACGGGGGTAAAAGTAGTAGAGGGTAACTCAAAAAGCAGACCGTGAAAAATTTATCTGATGAACATATTTCCTTACATTTGAAGTTATAGTATGTTAGCTACAAGTTTCATTAACCAACAGTGGTTACGATACATATTCGATACAAAATAACGTCATTCGTATTTAAGACGGCCGACATTTTTCGTCCCAAACGGGTTTCCGGACCGACATTTTTCGTCGCATACAGGGTTTTGGACTGACTTTTTGCACTAATTTCCCTAGAGCTTGAGGAGTGTCAATCCTCCCGCACCCACCCGCTAATGTGCGCCGGTGGCTTTATTGCTTCAAAATTCAACGCCAGTTTTTCAATGTAAAACACTAATCATTCTTGGTGATTTTGGCGCCACTCTTAAAATCTCGCAGGGGCCTCCTGTCCCCTTTCCCCTGCCACCACGCCCCTGCCCGGTAGACAACATTTGTGATCTATCTCAAAGCGTTAATGAATCTACTGATTATAATCTTAGGGGCTCCTCTACCTGAGTTCATGTTCCAATGCCAAAAAAATTACAATTCCTAACCAAAATTTGTCTTTGGCGCATTGTATGACAGTACTAGTGAAAGAGACGGCAGAACATATCTTAATTTCAATAAAAATTATTAAAATTGGCAATTCAAACGGCAAGGCAATTCAAAAATGTGACCGCAGTCCATATACTGTATAGTCTATATTCCCGGGGCCGGTTGCATGAAGCCAGTTTAGCAGTTAAACGGTGGATAAGTCAAAATTAAAGAACACTCTTACATCTGTCTTGAATGAGTTAACTTGAATATCATGCACTAAATATGTAGTTGTAAACAGTATCTTTGCATTAAGGTTAAAAACATTTAGTTCGCTTGTTGAGTAAAACGATAGACTTGCTTTCTATTTTGAACTTAACCACCGTTTAACCTAAACGGGCTTGATACAACCGGACCCCGGTTTGTGCGCACAGAACATGTGAGCAGCGTGGAAGAAAATAATTTTTACACTTAGAATTTGACGTTTTACTTGTTTACACTATAAATTCGTGTATTTGGGGAGACAAAGTTCTTTAAGTTTGCTGCCCGCATAGCGAGCGACCCTGGTGGAGCGAGAAAGCCAGCAGATCCTAATTTATATTGTGAGTAAAAGTAAAATATTTCCGAGACGCATTGTATTAGGGTGATTTTTTGAAAATTTTGAAAAAATTGATAAAAATGGCAATTTTCCACTACTTCCTAATAACGGATTGTCATCAAATTTTTCACTTTACAAAAGTTAACGTTTATTTCTTATATAGCAAGAAGGAAAATGAAGATAAATAGTATATTTTCGAGATCACTAAATTTGTGAAAGTAGCAGTGAAACTCCTTTTCCACTTCCGATTTTTTGCGATAGCATTTAAATATGTCCGCACATCATATATGTTCAATTAAGCCTGTTTCCGCATATTAAAACGATCTGGTGTCTCATTTTTCGACCTAACACGTATTTTCTGCTCAGTCATCCGACTTATTTTGGAATATGGATGCCAATTTAAGAATTATTCTTTAACGGAAAAACAGTCCAATCAAATGGAGCAAATTCAAAAAAGCAACTAAAACCATCTTATCCGATCAGATATCTTATGACCTAAGGTTAAAAAGACTAAAATTGAATACATTGGTAAGAGCTATGTTATAAATTATACCAATCGATCACTCAAAATAAAAACAATAAACTAAATAGCCTATTGCTGCAACCCAAATAGTAGGCTTATTGACTACGGAACCCAAGAGAATTTCCAATTTTTTAAGCGAAAACGGACAGATTTGCTTAATCATTTATATGTTAAACTATTTTATAGTACTCCTTAGTTGTGGTTCACCCACTTATACGAAAAGTATCAAATATTTATTATAAATTATTGTAGCACTTATGATGGTAATCTTACAAATTTGTAAATATAATTATTCTTAATCATGATTCATGTACATGTATATAGTCCACTCGATGTAAAATCAGGTTCTTTATGTTGTGTCTTAACAGCATACAAGTTTGTTCTTTAATTAAACACCTTAATAAACACCTTCATAGGGCTGTTTCCCACCAGGCAGAATTTTGCTCGCGGAGCGGAATTTTTCATTGTCAGGAGGCTTTCATGCAAAACTGATGCGAGAAAACTCCGCAAAGAAAAATTCCGCTTCGCGCGCAAAGTTCCGCCAAGTCAAGGTGTACACAGAGGGCAGGGAGGCAGTGGGGGGGACAATTGCACCCTAAAAATTTCGAGAAACAAAAATTCGGGCAATGGTGACAGTACAGCAACGGGGAGCTAAAATTTGTAATATATATCACATATGTGTATTCTATTTGGCCATTCTTGTTACACTTTCTTGAAAGCACATCCGGCGCTTTGCCAAATTTATTGTTACAAATTTGGTAAGAGTTAAAATTCTTTCGGGCACACTGCATAATTCAAAAATTCGGGCGATTTTTTTGCCCCCAAACGAAGTTACGCCCGTACGCCTATGCGCCTAGTGGAAAACAGGCTTTTAAGCTCATCTAATGATAATAATAATTCAATCCACTTGTAATGCTGGCGAAACCAGGATTTTTTTTTATACCAACCGTACTTTATAATTGGCATCGGTCGAGTACCGATACCAATTTCGATAGCAAAATTTGTTAAGAATCTTGAAATCTGATAATTTCGATACCAAGATTATAATCAGAAGTTTACATTTTGAAACTCAAGCTGCAAAAAGACCGATTAACATACTGAGTCATCTGAAATTTATAGTATAACGAAACGTCGATAATTGTTCTTTTTCCCTTTGTTCACGATTTGTCGAATTTGATTCAGTAGTTTTCCAAAAAAAAAACCATTTTAGAAAAATATAAAATATTCCAATCAACGTTTGCCCAGAAAAAGGGGACAAGTGTCAAACGAAACCAGGTCAGTAATCGACACCGATGCCATGCTCGATAGTATCGTTGGCATCGAATACTAAGTGTTCGGTTGGGTATCGTCTAGCACTAGTTTTACGTGTTAACTTCGAACTGGCGGCTAAATAGTCCAAATATATTTGTTGCCGTGATTGTGGCGATCGGCAGCCAGAGCCGGAGCCATAAACCAGAGCCAACCAATAGGCAACAAGAGCCGGGCAATGAACCGGGAAGTCTCATTGGGTACGTCTGCAACCAATGAAGCGACAATTTGAGCCAGCCATTACCTACTGCCATCACTATTATATATCCATAAAAATCCATAAAGTTCACTGTGCCATCCTTGTCCCCAGGTTTCGGCCGCGGCGCCGGCGGCAATTCCTCGCGGCTTGAAGAATAAAATGGCGGTTGTCTTTCTTCAGCATGCAAATGTCAAATGTAAAGAAATTTTTCCAGCAGTCAATTTGGTATATATTAAAGCCGAAATTCTCAACTTTTGCTTTAGTTGCTGGTTTGTCAGGTATGTTGTTATTTCTTGGTTATTGAATAGTTTACAAGTATAAAATCTGACTTAAATATTTGCATATTTGTTATTTGAATATTCATGAAGTTATGATATTATTTATCTGAAAAACCCCGCTAAATAGGTGAGAATGTTTTTATACCACAGAAAACGACTTTAATATTAGGTTTTGCCCGTTCAATTTTGTGGTGATAAATTGTAGCGTTACTTCTAAAGTCTAAACAACTTTACTTTATGCTTTATTATCTGGTATAAATAATTCGATTTTTTAAGTCACCTTTCATGTGTCTGAACTCTATATTACTTAGGGATGCTACAAGTTTGTTCAAAAGGAATATTCTTAAACCCAGCATACTAATTTAAACTAATGTACAGGTTAGAATGATGCCAAAATGTTCATTGCAGCATTTAGGAGCACAATGCATTCTGCATAGGTTAAGCAAATTTTTAAGTTTCAAGCTTGATTTGGTCAAGATGTTCACTTGTTACAAAAAGATTGCTCAGCTGTTCAGTTGGTTTATTCAGATGAAGTAGCTAAACATTTTTTGGAGGAGAACATGTTTTCGGATGGCGACTTAATTTGCTTTCAGTTAATTTATGTGGTTGATCAACCCCAAATAATTACCTGATTTTACCAAATAAGTTACCCTAGATTCTAGATTCTCATTATCTACATGGAAGAAGGGAGCTAAAGGATGTTCTTAAGAAATAAATAAATGTTTCAACACAAGATGCTGGTTTAAACTGATAGATTGAATAGAATACCAACTCACTGTATAGATGTATACTTGTTTTATAAATCAAAAGAGCACTAATTTTTGGGTGCATTAATTCTGCATGGTGTCCCTACTTTGTACGTTACATTCTTTTTTCCACCAGCTTTTTAAACCATTTTCTCTGTCATCACTACTTTTTACCACTATCTTGGAATTTGTGAGTCTTCAAATAAAACTAATGATGGAAGGATTACAACCAACTGTTAACATTTGCGAGCTGGAACATAGGTTCCACATATCAGAAATTCAAAGGAAGACGTACCCAAAATGACTTATATAAATATTCAAATTTTGCCATGTGATTGCAGTTAATCCTGTCCTTGCCTATAAAAAAGTTACACATGAAGAGATTTTCAATTGTTCAGCTTTGTTGCATGCACTTGTGGTTGGTTTGTGCAGGAAATTGTTTGGTTAATAAGACACTACAGTATGATAAAACATTTTTTTAGGTCACCTGATTAAATGACTCTTAAATACAAAAAGCTACTGTAGTTAATGTTTACTTTGCAAATGCAGCCAAGCTGCAAAGTCCTGATATGATATACTGTATTTTCTCAAGGATAATATTGACATGTTCCCATTCATTAACTATCAATCCCATGTTTCCTCTTAGCTAGGCCTTTTCAGAAAATAATGGGCTCTAGTCAAGGTCTAGTCATAATGTTGGTTACCCATATGCACAATTTATGGCTGATTCAACAAGGGTTAGGGCATGGAAAATGTTAATCAGCAAACTCTTATTTTTCTGGAAAGTTCAATTGCTTAAACTGTGTGATATGCTTTCTTGTAAAAGGCCCAAGATCTGATTGTAATAGCACCTACATTTAATAATAAAATCATTGAAAAGCATTAATATTGTTAATCAGCAAAATTATTTCTCTGTTTTCTAGATTGACTGTTATACAACATGTTCATACCTCTACAGCAAAATTGGTAAGTTATAAATTTTCTTCTGTGTGCAAGACGAATTTTTGTATCAGTAGTATGCAGAAAGATGTAGATGTTTATCAGTTTATCTGTGTATTAAAACATTTTTTATTTTTGTCTCATCATGTGTTAACTAAGTTTAACTAAGTTTAAGTTTAATATAGTTTATATAGTTTCATGGACACTTTTAAATTTAATACAGCATAGGCAATGTAGCTATTTGCCATTTAAGATGGAATAATATCTATTTTACTCCAAATGTCTTTTTTGCTGCGATTTTATGCAATTTTCTTGCAACTTGCAATGCAATTATAATTTTGAGGGATGTTAATTTTGTAAGGAGTGTTCGAAATGTTAAAAAAATGTTAGAGATTCTAAGCAGATCCTAAGAAATTTTTGTAATTGACAACTTTAGATGCCTCAGTTTCCTTAAATTTCCTTACATTGCAAATATAAAGTGTTGGAAAGGAAAGTTAAATGTTCAGGCTTGCTTGTCCCTTCACAACAGTTCCTTAATTATAGCAGCTTATATTTAACAATTAGACAACGAGTCCGAGTTGTCTATGAGCGAATAGTTGACGAAGGTGAAACCTAAGTTGACTATTCGCCCATAGACAACGAAGGCGAATTGTCTAATTATCTTAGTATACACCCTCTACCTAGATAATTTTATATTAATTTCGAGAAAATAATCGATACACTGCAATTACACCGAAAAATATTTAATTCAATTTTATACGGTCCCGCAAGCGAATTTTTCCCAAACTTTCACCATCACGAATAGACAATGGTTGAGTAGCCAATCAGAATGTAGGATTTGTAATAGACAATAGTCAGGTGTATACTAATTTCGGATAGTAAACGGAGCCAGCAGACCTAATTGATCAAATTGATCAGACTGCAACACCGGCGGAGTGCTTTGTTACAGGAAGCATTTTGACGAAGTCCGTTAATTTACCTAAATCATACTAGAAAACATCGTTTTCAGTATCCCATGGTATTCCCAGGATATTAACCGATAAATGTTCAACTTCTGCTGTTGATATGTTACTTCTTGATCGTTATGTTCTGCAGTGTTTGGAAAGCATTCGCAAGTTAAATGATGGTCGGTTCCAAACAACAAACCTGTTGCTCGCTAATTTCAACCTATTCAATACCACACTCGTTCTCGAGGGGTTCCACGATCTGTGGTAACACCTCTTCACACGCTTTTGTATGTTGTTTCCTTCTGTACGAAGCCCGAATCCACCGTCTGTGATTATTTCTTTTGACATATCGTAAATTTGATTGTTTGATCATCCGCCAAGGTAATTTATGCTGTATGATGGTATAGATACTTCAATCAGGATCCATCAAACAGAACTCACACTTTCGTTGTTTGTAATTAATGCGCCGATTTATCAGATCCTGATCTTTTGCAGTTCAGTCATCAATAACTCGCAAATGTTGCTGTTGCTTGAAGACATTCAGAATATTCTTTCATAAGTTCGGTCCTTCAACGGATTATGCGTGTGTCGTAGTCTACTCATACACAGGATGAATACTCACTCGCGATCGGTCCCTTCAATGAAGAAAACGAGGATTTGAACTTGTCAAATCGTTGTAAGTTTTTTGTTTTATGAACTGCATTTTCGAAAGCCCCACAAAATGTACGATTAATTCGTAACAACACCTTGAAGTTTATACAAAGGCAGTTTCGAGGTCGAAAAGAACAGCGTTTTTCTTAGAATCGAATTTGCGATGAATTTGTTGGCAATTGGCTGGTACATATACGTCTTCACATCCTCAGTCAGTTCTTATTTACTCGCTAAAGTCTACTTGATGACTCTCTTGTGCTATTTCTTTCAATCAATTTTTTTCTCAGTTATTTTACCCAAGTTTTTGAGATTCTGTAATTTGGCACTCAATGTTGTTAACTCCACACAAATTGTTTCTTTGCTAAGTCGTCCCCGTTTTGTAACTCCATGCATGATTTCTAGATCGAATTGGGCACCATGCAATAGAACTTTATACACAAAAAAAGAAAAATTCAAAAGAACACAAACAAAAATTAGGCAAATTAAAATCCTAGATGTACAGTGTACTACACAGGCTTTTCAAAAGTCATACTGTAGGTTCGATAAATGTTGTTCGTCAAAAGACCACCATGTTTTCACTGTGGAATGTTCCTACCTAAACTACTGTTCTTTTCACAAGTAGCTAATTCCTTTCACTTTTTTTATTAATTAGTATAGGTATTAACGAGATTTTTGCTCCAACAATTTGTGATTAAATAGGAATGATGTTTGAAAATTTTTCCAAAATTGGACGTGCCATCGACACGGTAGCTATCGATCACCATGCAAACATATACTATACACTGTTATACTTTAACTAAGTATTAGCTTTTTATCCTATTCGGATCGACTTAAAAGTATATAAATAGAATGAGCAACGCATGAGCAACTTAAAATATAATTCAATAATGCAATATCGCGGCGAACGTAACTTAAGTACTCTGAGTATACTGCGGGTTTCATGAGGAGAAGTGAAAATCATGTTGCGACAGACGTCTTGTTGGCTCATGCATTAATGCATCGGGAGGGCACTAAAACTTTGGATCCATGGATCCCTAGAATATATGTCTGAGCTCTCATCTTTTAAAAGGAGGTAATTTTGCTCCTTATGAATTACGAATAGTCTGCCTAGCAAAATTCTTGACTGATTCTGTTTTAGAAGACACGGTACAGTTTTAAAAAGTGCGACGGAGCCCTCATTGCTGCAACTGTAGGCTTAAAAGGTTAAATGACTTTTAAGCACAAAAATGCAAGCATATGCTCACTTTGCCCATAAAGCCAAGCACGTAGGCCTAGCTGAGTTTCTGACATGGGCATATTTATTTTTCCTATGGAAAAAATAATCGTTTAACACAATTCTTTGTTTCCTAGACTGACTGTGTCACAGTACATTCCTAGTACTGCAAATCATTTTGGTAAGTTATTTTTTCTGTTTGTGTCTTTAACTTTTAGTTTATGTCTTTTTATAGTGATATACAGTAGGGATGATGTGTTAATGACATTAGATAATTTTCAATTTCAATGTCTCACTATGGTGGAATGTTTTTATGCTTAATAAACTTTTTTGTATCAATAGTGGGATAGTATATGTTCAGTATGGCAGGGTGTTTTTCATTCTTAGTTGACTATTTTGTATATCAGTAGAGGGATAGGATGTTCTTTAGGCAGGGTGGATCTTTCTCATTTTTTTTACTTTATCTTTGCATCAGTTATGAGATGGGATTATTAGCGTTGAATGATTATTGATCAGAATTTATTGAAGTCCCCACAAGAGATTACCCATGTTTAGTACACACATTCACACAATGAGTCACAATGTGTGCAGTATGCAGTCCTATTGGGAGGACTTGTACAAGAAGTCTCACACTGTGGGGAGACTGCTAGCTCAGGTCTCTTAATGATTTGTGTCACCATAGTATTGCTGGCTGAAGTTGATCTTTTTCAAGTTTATCTTGTCATCGGTAGAATAATGGGATGTTTTTCCGGGTGGTATTAGTAGCTGGGGATGCATGTGATTTCTTCACTATATCTCTGTATATGGGGGGGGGTTGCAGTTCAGCATGGTGGGTTGTCAAATCTTTGTCAATTTTATCTTCATATCAGTAATGGGATATGATGAAACGTTTCTCTTTCGTAATTGACTCGCTTTTGCAGCAGGATACAGTAGGGTGTTCATCATCCATTCTCAGTTGACCTTTTCATCAGTAGCTGAAAGGAATGTTTATCAGGGCGAGATTTGTTGACCCCATACTGTGAATACTAAGTTGGCTCTGATTTTTAGTACACATGTTTTTTGAAACCTTCTTTGAAACCTCGCAACTGACAATATTTTTGCATCAGTACTTCTTACATTAATAGCGGTAGTGATATGTTCATCATGGTGGGACATTTAACTCTAAGTTAACAATATTTTGTATATATTTTGCATAGAGCTTAAAACAATTCTCTTTTCCTAGTTTGCAATTGACTGTTTCATGCACAGAATGTTCATACTTCCACTGCAAAGAGTTGATTGGTGGTGAGATTATTTTTTTGTATGCTTGTTGTTACTCTAGGATATTTTTCACTCTTAGTTCACTATATCATTCTATCAATATCTAGACAGCATGTTTACCAGATTGGAATATTTTCAATTTTTTGTGGTATCAGTAGTGGATATGATATTTTATATTTATCATGATGGGATGCTCTGTATGCATCAGTAGTAGGATGTTTATCGGGGCAGGATTAGTTGATTTGCAGTATCCAAGCATAATAATGAGTTGGCTGTAATTCTATTTAGTTATTGGGAGGGAATGTTTATTACAGTGGGTTGTTTTTCATTATTATTTGACTTTGTATCAATACCGTGACGGCATGTTTATTAGAATGGAATGACTTTTATTTTTAGATGATTTACTGTAATGTTTGCATCAGCTGCAGTGGTAGGGGATGTTTACTAGGGTGGAACTGATTTGTTGACTGTATCTATGTATATTATGATTTGGCTCTAATTTTGTATCAGTGGAAAGGAATGTTTATCAAAATTCAAATTTCTTTAGTCCCCACAATGCAATTACGTAAGTTCACTAAACACGCAGTGTAAAAAATGGAGCATTGTGAGGACTTGTGCAAGAACTTTAACATTGTGGGGACTTACATACACTCAGGTCCCCATAAAGTCATTCCTACAAGGTTTCAACATATTTTTCAAAACAACAGCATAGGTGGCTTATTAGAGTGGGTTTTTTCATCAATATAGTTTTATTAATGGCTTTTATTAAATGGAGTAGCAGAGTGGCATTTTTATACCAAGGTGGGATTTGTTGACAATATTCCTGTATGCTGAGTTGGCTCCAGTTTTGAATTAGTGGTGGGATTTGTTTACTGTATGTATCTTGTATCTAGGGTAAGATGTTATTCATTCATAGGTGGCATTATCTTTGCATCAGTGATTTGAGGAGATGCTTATAAGCTAGGGTTAAATTTGCTGACAATCTGTATGTCTATACTACATTGGCTCTTATTTTGCATCATTAGCGGGAATGGACATTGATCAAGATAGATGAAATTTGTTCACTCGATAATATCTTTGTGTGTTTCCAATTTTTATCACAGGCGAAATGTAATTTGTTGACTACATAAAGCTCTTTGTATATTAATATAGTGAGTTGACTTCAACTGGGAAGTTTTCTATTAATAGTTGATGTTATAATTGTATTGGTAGTAGCTCAGGTTAAATATTCCATCAAGTATCATCATGTAAAAGTGTGTAAAGCAATGTGAGGACTTGTGCAAGAATTCTCACATTGAGGGGACTTACATTTTTAATGATTTGTGTCAGCATAGTATTGGTGGTTCAGTTTAATCTTTCCATCAAGAATAGAATGGAATTTTTATCAAGGGGAATGTTCTTCATGGGATTTGTTGACTTTCTGCATAATACATAATTCTAATTTTGTCTCACTAGTGGGAATTAAGAGATGTTCGTCAGGGGTGTGGGATTTCATTAATAGTTGACTTTATCTTTGAATCATAGCTGCAGCTGGGGATGTTTATCATTCTTAGTTCACTTTATCTCTGTATCAAAACATTTTTAATGTTTTGTCTCATCATAGTATCAGTGATGTGTTTAATTAAGTTTAAGTTTAATAGTTTATATAGTTTTACGGAAACTTTTAAATTTAATACAGCATAGGCAATATATTTGCTATTTATGATTGAATAATATCTATTTTACTCCTAAAGTCTTTTTTGCTGCGATATTTTTTTTAGTATGGAACATGTGAGAAATCCCTTTGACGTACACTAACACATAAAAGACCACTATTAAGCAAACGTTGACGGAAAGATTTTTAATGATGCATTTGGTAAGTTTATTTTATTTTAATTAATAAACTCTACATTGTCACTGCTGTTACACTATGCAATTTTCTCGCAACTTTCAATGCAATTATAATTTTGAGGGATGTTTAATTTGTAAGAGTGTTCGAAATGTTAAAAAAACGTTAGCAGATCAAACGTCAGCGGATTTTATTTTCACTCTTCTTTCTGTCGCGGATTCTTGAACTTCAGCATGCGCTTTCTCTACAGTTGCAGTTTATATTGTCTTCAATCAAGACAGTTATACTTTTGGGTGCGATTGGTAACTCGATGATGGTATTAGGTCATCTTTTTGGCTATACAGACTTTAGCTGCTCTAATCAAGGGATGGTATTAAACAACTCCAGTTTCACAAACTTTTAGGGCACATCGCGCGATTTGTCATCTTTTAGAATCACAACATCCCAAACGATCTGTTGGATACTTTTAACGGTTCTCTTAATCTGCAGATCTTTTTTCGCCATTGATTCATAAATTGATTTACTGTCGTTTGATGTGGTGGTAATAGTAGCTACCAATTTGTACGAACATATAGATTAGTGATGAGGGTGTTAACATGTTCGTCGTCGTACAAATAGGTTATAGGCGAAGTGACTTTATTCTTTTGTTTTTGAGCAATTTGTTCCAGATGGTTGCAGACTTGCAGTTAAGAGATCTCGATTAACACAGTCCGCATTTCTTTAAACAATAGTCGTGTTCGTCCTTATAGTATTTTTCTAAGACAAATTTTCGTGCTACCAATCATGCTTTTCAAAAATCTCCTTGCCAGGGCGCTTTCTCGATTATGAAAGTCCATGTAATTCTCTTGTTCATCGAATACTGTTTTGGATCTCCTCCGACCTGACGATCCTTTTCACGTCTTGAGCAGTGGATTTGACAACGACAACAGTCTTGCATATTAGCAGCCGCGCCATGCGGAAAATCTTGAAAAGCTTGCAAAAACGACTTGTATAGATAAATTAGGCACTAGCTCTAGGATCATGATCGTGTCAAAGAACAAGTCGAAAGACGGACGTGAGCCTTGGCTTTCTCTGATTCGGGTTGCCCTCGATTCGTAGCAAAAAGTGGTCCGGCGAAATCGACTCCTGTATTTGTGAATAGCGGAGTAGCTAACTCGTCAAGCTGGTGGGGTAGGGGGCAGTTTGGGGAGTATTGAAACACATCCGTTCTAATTTCTTGCACTTTCTCTTCGCCCTCTAACTATCTAATACTCTCATAAATTTTATTCAATTTCTCTGTGATTTCATTATGATAAACAACCCTATGATGATCGAAAATTACAAGATCCGTAAAGAGGTGTCTCGACGGAAGGAGTTTGGGCTGTTTCTCTGACAACGACAGAGACGATTTATCAATTTGACCACGAGAACGAATAACGTTGGCTGGGTTTCAAAACAACCCTAACTACTTGACCAACCGTAAGATATTCTTTGTTAAGATATCCCTCTTCCGCCACGTAAATGATCGATTTTATCCCAAGCATCAATGTTTAAACTGGTCCGCGGTAGGCTTCTGTGCTGTAGAAGGACACCTTATGTTGTAAATGAACTGCACACACGGTGTCACTCATAATAACTTTGTCTTGCTGCTGTAGCATTAACGTCGATCAAATCTTAACAATGTCACTTCTTGTCAATGCTCTCATAATTGAATACGGATTTGATTTCATCATTGCAGGATTTGATTTCGTCATTGCAGCATTTGCCCCGACATCTGAACCCCTAAGATCTGTATGTCCTGACACTGATGGCGATGTTTTCGAGAGGTACTTTAGGAATTCTCCTCTAGTCCACAATAGTGATTGGCCTCCCCGTTTTCTTTGTGCGGGGCAAAATTTCCACCTCTCTGACGGCGAGCTTTCGTATTTCATTTACGGGTTCTGGACGTATACGAATCAGTGCATATGTAAATACGTTTCAGGAAACATCTGCATATACAAGTTAGCCTTCTGGACTGAGCTTATCAAACGAGCCAGAACGGTGGCCCCAAGGAGTTCAAGGGGGGGGGGGGAGTTGATTAGCGTTTATTGGGCGTGACTCTGGTTTTTAAGGCTACCAAAGCGAGTTCGATTTTTCCATCTTACACAGTTTGTAAGTATCGATACATAGGGGTTTTTTGTTTGCGAGCGTCCGGTGATTTTGCAATCAAGAGATCATCCCAATTTGACCCGTCCATACATAAATCCTAAAAACATTTTTATCGGATAGTAAACGGAGCCAGCAGACCTAATTTAGTCCTGCAGATTGGTAGGAAAATTGTGGGTTTTTGGTTAAAAGCACAAAATTTTACATTTTTGCTAAACAAGACCTGTCAAAATAGATGCCATGTGGGCCCACTCATAAATTTCAATTGGGGACCATTTTTCGCATAAATTATAACTCTACATAAAAACGAAGGCTTAATCGAATTTTCACCATTTATGCTTTGTAAATGTGCGGATTCACATAATGATAGAGGAATGCTAGATATATAGTTAACACATTTAGTGTGGTTATTTTCAATATTATCGATACACTTACTAATACTGTTTTTGCATGAAAATGAAACTAAAAGATATTTACAGCTGTCAGAGAAGCAGTATTAACGCATTAGTTCTAAGTATTTCGGTTAGTTTAGAACTCAGCGTCAACATAATTGTTCACCATATGTTCAAGCCTTTATGGTTAATCTCTGTCACATTCTCCTCCACAGTAACATAATGATGTACATTGTATTCCAGCATGTACACATTTACAACGTCCTGAACATCCCTTTTCACTTTTGCATCCGCACTTGAGAAGCTCTTGACAACTTTTTGAGGCTTGAGGGGGCGTTCAAGCGTTCAATGACTGGCATTACCTCATGGTTAACGATGATGGGTAATCGCTTAGTCTTGCAAATGCTCCCGTTGCATCGCTGTGAATTCTCCATGTTTCCCAAGCAGTCTTCTTTCCCTTGCTGATGTTTGGTCGCAGCCTGTAAAAGCATGAAATGCTAGGAGTGCTCTTGACGTTTAGGGTCCCATGGAACGTGCAATCTCATGCACAGGCAAGTATCGTAAGTGCTTTCCAGCCCCAAACGCTACCCATAATTCAGACGAAGACATCAGATGAAAATGTGCGACTGCTATCACAACAACATCCGTATCAATTGTACGCACCATCACCGTTGTGAATCCTCGCTTCGATGCATCGGCGGCGTGCAACAACAATCAGCCTCTTCTTGTTGACAGGGAGATAGATCGGCAAGAACTCTTTCTGTATTGCAGATTACCATGTCTTCTTTTGTTGATATAACCTCTCCGTTCTCAGCTCCAATCGTAATTGCCTGGTCTGCAAGGTAGCTGAAAAGTTCCTTCTTGTTGTCTGCTACTCTAAGAAAGGTTTGCCAGTTTCCAGGAATTTTGCTATCAGCTTGAGCACGTCTACGTACTCCCTTACCTCGCTTCTCTCTTGTAGCGGTCTTAAGGCTGTGCTGGAAATATCTGTCCCAAATAACATCCACTCGTCTGGCGACTTGGAGTTGGCTACTCACGTATGGGATGGAAACCTTTCGACTGTATTCTTCAAAAATTCGTGATGCCCCGGGCTTTAGCATGTTAACAATAGCTGCACCATCCAATAGAACGACGTCAACAGATATTTTTACTGATTGTGCATTGCTAATCGTTTCGAGACATGGCAACAAATCTGATTTGGTTCCTGATCGCATCGTTCCAAATTGGGATAACGAAGGAGGATAACTTTGATTCTCGTGAGAGAAAAAGGTTTCCATATCTCCATCACGAACTTGACAAGAAACATAGAGACGTTAAAATAGCGCACAGTTTTGCTTGAGTGAAGCGATCTGAAGCTTGTCTTTGGACTTCTTTGTCAGGCGAATAGGAGAAGTGAAAAGTGGTAACTTGTTTTTCTTTATTGGCTTAAAGAGTGAGATTCTTTTATCAAGCCTGTCGGTAACAAATTGCTCATATTGCTCTTTACCAATAGCTTCTATTTTACGAACAGTCTCTATGACACTAGTATCCACCAAATTTCGCGTGTCTAGAACAAGTAAATCCTCGCTCTCTTCTAAGAAAGGGTTTCCCATTTCTTCAATCGAGTTGTACATATCTTTGACCTGTTTGCTAAAGGTTGACTGGACTCCTTTTACTTGCTCATGATGACGAACATCCGGTCCTTTACTTTGAAAATCTTTCAGCGATTCTACTGCAGACTCGAAATCGTTGATTATTCTTGCCAGTTCTGGACCCGAAACCATCCAGCGTAGCAATTTATTCTCATTACTAGTCAGACCAACCGCACCAATATCACCTTTGACAATCTTGTTATTCTGTTCGTGTGCTTGATCAAGGGAAATTGCAGAAAAAGCACGGCGTGTTTTGTGTACCACAAAATTTCCGCTTTCGAACTTCTTTGCGACTGTGGGAAGTTCCTTGTCCAGCGTTTCCATATCACGGATGTGAACGGGGAGCCACCTTGAATAGTGGGTATGATCTAGAGCAAAAAAAAACACGGAGCGATGGCAGTTAGGGCATCTTTGTACAATTGAAAGTTTCCTTCGCGTATGGAACGCACGAATATAAGAACTGTCAGCTGTAGTCGAAGCGTGAGCGACCAGAAGTGGAAATGTGGACTGTCGATTTCTCTACGAGCACGCCAGTTGGAAAACTCGAGCGGTTTTACCGTTATGATGTCAGAAACACTTTCATTTGCTCCTTATGAATTACGAATAGTCTGCCTAGCAAAATTCTTGACTGATTCTGTTTTAGAAGACACGGTACAGTTTTAAAAAGTGCGACGGAGCCCTCATTGCTGCAACTGTAGGCTTAAAAGGTTAAATGACTTTTAAGCACAAAAATGCAAGCATATGCTTACTTTGCCCATAAAGCCAAGCACGTAGGCCTAGCTGAGTTTCTGACATGGGCATATTTATTTTTCCTATGGAAAAAATAATCGTTTAACACAATTCTTTGTTTCCTAGACTGACTGTGTCACAGTACATTCCTACTACTGCAAATCATTTTGGTAAGTTA